AAGATCGGGATCCTATACAGATTAACTCAACATGTGAACGGGGCAAGCCCTAGACAGGTAAACAAGAAAAAGGTGTGCTCTCTCTCTCACGGAAGCGCCCATTCGACAGGAAGGAATGCCCGTGACCCGAGGAAAACCGGGACGGTCTACCTGTTTCTCACCAATCATTCAGGGCGTTCACGCAACGCTCAGTGAAGAAACATGAATGTTTCATTTCCCTGCATGCCACGTTCGATCAGTCATATTCTAATTGTTGGCAGCACAGCAGGTGTGACACATGCATACAGGTAATTCGATCATCTGAAATGTGCAACACAGGTGTGCCGAACCATGTGTAGTCTAAGGACAATGGAAAATACCCCAACCAGTGTGTAATGTCTTCTTGTTTTGTTTCCTATGAAGATTAACCTTTAACTTGTGAATCATATCTTAAACTCCTTATCAACCTCAAAATACTGCAAAAGAGAGTCAATAATTGTTGTGGTTTATAATTACAATGTATATACAAGAAGGAACTGTATGCACTATGCATGATAGATGATGTCAACTTTTGAATGGATCCTCAAATTTCAAAAATTTCACAAGCAAGCATTAATTAAAAAAGTATTGAAGAAAACTTAACAAGGGACATTACACTTCTGATATGATTTTTTCTCTTTTCCTTTGATTCTTGGTAAAGAATGGGACAGAAAAAGACCAAATACCTTAATCTTTCTCTTGCCAAATAAACAGTTTCCCATTGTAGACACATGCACATGTAATCTAGACTGTGTTAGAACCAGGAAGCAATTTAACAATCGGCTTGTATATTAGTGTATGCTTATAATTTCTACAGTGGAAGTAACATGTACACTGAATGTACTGTACATAACCACAAATGAGAGTAAATTACACTGAAATGCCAAGCGTCTCTTATTCGGGTATGTTCCACTAGTTTCTTCTATTGAAGGAAGTGCATGATCCACATACATGTACATGTACATGTATGTATGTGTACAACATTCTCTTTATGTTATTCATATGTTTGTTCACTGTTTATGTCCCTCTTTGTGTAAAAATTACGAAAGAAAAAGAAAGAAAAAGAAAAGAAAAATGAAACAAGTATTTGACTATTTCTTGTGGAAACAAAAATCAAACAATTTCATTTTTACATTTTCCTCCTCAATTTTTCAATCATAACTGTCAATTTTGCACAATGGGGTAAAAATATGGAGGAAATCCTTACTGGACAAGTCCAAGTTATTAAGTCTCTTTGGTCTTGTGTACATCACATTTAATTCATTTAAAGCTTATCTGCCGTAGTTTACAGGAGGGATTAGACCGCTCTGCTAGGTCACTGGACAGGTGCTTATCTCATCAACTCAGCTCTCAGTTAACATAAGAAAAAGAGGATCATGGGGGACCAATGGTCACCGATTAGGCATTGTTTGTTATATAGAGGGCACAAGTAGCTACAAGTAGTGCAGTGGGCCTTTAAGCCATTCACATTTGATTGTTATATTGATGTACTTTTTGTTTGGATAATAAACTTCAAACTCAACTCGACTCAACTCAACTCAACATCATCAAGTACATGTTTTGTGGGTTATTAAACATAAATTGACATCAATAATGTAGTTTCACTTTATTTGTGGTCTGATAACAGCTCTCGTAGGGATATTAACTTTGTACAATGGTGCTTATACGAGAAGTATACATATCAGATGTGGTCAGTGAAATGTGGAATAGAATATCTTGGGCTTGCCCTACACACACACACAAGACAAATCATCTTGTACAGGAAGTTCTCATAGGAATTAGGAAGTAGAAGAAAAATAAAATGAATAAAATATACAAAACAGAGAACTTTTAACAAATAACAAGGAACTCCCAGATTCATTTAGTTCTCCATCACATCCTGTCTGCCTTTAGTTCCAAGATTTACCAGTTACCCTTTTTCCTGGTTCATTATTTCAAAAGCTTTAAATCATCATTTTTTTTCCTTTCTTTTCAGTGCCTTTTTACGCCCTTTAAAAGAACAATTCTGCCTATTCTGCCTAAGCCAGACTTCAAAGGATATTTCCTAACCTATTTTCATAGAAATTAACCCCCTTCCCTATATATACACCTCTAATATCTCTATAAATCCTGTACCTAGAACAAAGATCTGAATTTTTATTACAAAAAAACGCAAAAACAGTTCTTGAGTAAGACTGGGCATGTGTACCAGTATCCTATGCTCATTTACCCTTTATCAAAGTTGATGTGAGTAAAAGGTGGGAGGGGGAAGCCCCCCCCCCCCCCCCCCCACCCCCATTTCTCTCTCTCCCTCTCTCTCCCTCTCTCTCTCTCTCTCTCTCTCATTTCCCCTTTTCCTTCTTGTCTTTCCTTATAAACTCAAGTTCATATCATGTCATGAATATTTGTGGAATATTAAAACCAATATCACTTCCTGATACTGTATCAAAGAATAAACAGCCCAACACGCCCTTAAACATCTTATAACAAACCATGTCACTCATATTACCGCGAATCTCACGCAATGTGTGTACATACACATGCCACCAGTAACCCGACACAAGCCTCAGATACACTGATGGTAATTTGATATGCCGATATGATACCGCCACAATAGCAAACTGACGATACATGTGTGCTTAATTACAGATCCATGTTTCGGTTTCCATATCCGCAAAGCTGCGGCAGGCAGGGCTGCAGAGTGTACTCGTTAATCACATGTGCAGCCATATGCAAGCTAGTTTGGTGGAACAAACCCTTGTCAGGCGTTACATGTGACAGAGGGTCTGAACTTTGAGACTACCTGTATGTTGAATGCATGGTCTCAGAGACTTGACAAAGTTAGGCTAGACTTGAAGCTAAGGAAATTGTGTTTAAGTGTCTAATTAGAGTCTTTGAGACTACCTGTAAGTAGAATGCATGGTTTGAACACATTGTAGGATCTAAAAAGGCCAGAGACTTGATAAAGATAGGCTAGACTTGTCTTGAAGCTTACGAAATTGTGTTTAAGTGTTAATTTTGGGTGTTTGTGCCTGCACACTAGACACAGTCACTTGTCAGTCGTAACACGTAACAGAGGGTCTCAATTGTAAGACTATGGAGACTGCTCCACATCGGCCCCAGCCTGTACTGTACATGCGACAACCAGAGACTGAAAAAAGTTAGGCTAGGCTCGAGGCTTTGTTAAGTTATGTCTAAGGGTCAATATAGATTTCTGTGTCTCTTCACTAACCACTCGCAGCAATGAAGGAATTGGTCTTGGTCTTGGTCCTAGACCCCAGAAAGCGACCTCACTAAGCAGCACTCTAATAGGTTTGCAGACTCGGACACTTGTCCCTATCACCTCCTGATATTAAAGAACCAACAGCCCAACACACCCTTCAATTTCTTTCAACCAACCCCATATCTGAAACACAGAGTCTGAACAATATACAACTGCCCTGCCCCTGAACAATAGACTTATGCATAAGCTCTGGACTGTAGTTGCCCAATGAGGCAGGATCAGGCTTTTACAATTTGTGAAAAAAAAGAAAGAAAGGAAATAAATCAAAACATGAATGTTGATGGGTGGGACCCCATATGAAGTCTTTCAGATCACACATATGTATTTTCACAAATAGTACAAGTGCAAGTTCAAGAGGTCATATTTGTGGTTTGATCTCAAAGATGCAGATACTTATTAACCAAGCAGACATCACTGCAATGTCTAAAGAAACCATCTTAAGTACAAAGTTCACCAATATCCCGTTGAAATGCGTGTATCAAAATTGAAACATGTTTCAATGGAATGCTGGTCAACTTGTGTTTTAGACGGTTCCATGAAACTATGCCCTTTATCCCTTCCAGTGGTGCAGTTGCATGGGAGCATGTGCTTCCCACCAAATTGTGAAAAAGGACAAAAAAATGAAAAGAAGAAGAACTGAGAGAATTGGAGGAAGAAGGGGAAGAAAATAACATTCCAATACTCTTCAATTACCCAAACTCATCTTCATCATCGATTTTAGTGCCCATTTTCCCCCATGCTGTGGGGTTGGACTTTTCGTTTCCCTTACGGCTTTTCTCCAAACCTTCCGGTCTTCAGCATCCGCATGGGAGCTGTTTCACAAAACCTTTTTTCAATGACAAATGACAAAAATCAGTGACAAATCTGCTGATAACCAATCAGAAGCAATTATTTCACAAGCTTATAACAAAAACTGTCATTTGTCACTGATGACAAGCTTTGTGAAACACCCACCTGGTTGAGGCGGATGCTGAAGAACGAACGGTGAAGAGCTTTGAAATGAAACATATTAAAAAACAAGGGAAACGCTCTTGGCGGTCTCGCCTGCATTACGCAATTCAATATGATGAAAAATTGGGTTGGAACACTATTCATAGGCAGGGTGGCCCATCAGCAGGCCCCCCCCCCCCCCCATGGAGTCCTCTAAATATAATCATCAGAAGAATTATTTACTATAATTTGTATTTTATACCAAGATTAATAACTTAAATGGAATATGAAAAAATAACCAAAAATGATTTTTTTTTTTTTCATTTTAATCCTCACATACTGACCTAAAATGACCTTTGACCTTGACTTTGTGACCTGGAATTCGTGTCATAAGATTTGTGATACTTGATAACCCTTGTGTACAAGTTTCATGGAATTTGAACAAACACATTTGAAATTATGCTAAAAATTCAAAATCTTGATGTTGATGCCACAAAAGAGTCTTTTGTTGACCTGAAATGACCTTTGACCTTGATTTTGTGACCTAAAATTCTGCACAAATGATTGGGAATACTTGATAACCCTTAAGGCCAAGTTTCATTGAATGAGAATTTATACTTTTAAAATTATACTAACAATTCAAAAACTTAATCTTAGGTTAAGTTTTTTATGTTACAAATCGCTGTCACCGTCACCGGAAAAGCGGCGCCTACAGTGTGTCTTGCTTTTTTGCTACGCAGGCGAGACAAAAATGGGGGAGGGGGGGGTTCTGTTTCCAAACGCTACTCACTCTTTGGCTTGATTTCCCTGACGAAGTTGCTCGGGAACCAACCGGACCTGCCGCTCAGCATCCCTTCCCACCAGCCTCCCGGCACCTGGAGGGTGACGGTGATGATGTCACCCTTCTGGAAGTTGAGCTCGTCGTCCTTGCTCCCCTCGAAGTTGTGGCGGGCCCGGTACTGCTTGAGGGGCTCCGACCCCATGGTGATTAGACCCGGCGGCACTTCTGCCATCTTTGATTTGCTTGCTCAACAAGCGAGGGAGCTATTGGTCATGGAAGAAAGACACATATTGCACATTTGAGTTTCTTTTCTAAAATGCATGTTTTAAAAATAGTAAATCATTGTGGTTGTAAAATTGTCGTAGTAGTAGCAAAAGTAGTAGTAGTAGTAGTAGTAGTAGTAGTAGTAGTAGTAGTAGCAGCACAAGAAGGAGGAGGAGAAAGAATGATTGTGATGTTGTCCCCCTTCTGGAAGTTGAGCTCGTCCTCCTTGTTCCCTTCGAAGTTCAAACAGAACCGAAACTGCGGGAGGGGTCCCGACCCCATGGTGATCGAGCCCGGTGGCACCTCGGCCATCTTGGATTGCTTGCTCAACAAGCGAGGGGGCTGTTTTGTATGTGGCAGAACGGACATGGACTGCATGTTTCAGCTACATTTCCAAAATTCATACTTTCAAAGCTACTAGATACACACAGAGAACGAAATAAAGATTCGCCCCTATTTGTGGCCCCTCCAACCAACAGCAATTTTACAAGTGAACCAAAAGAGCACCTGAAGATGTGTAAAGCTTGTCAAGACTTGTGCCCATAATTGGTTTTGATGACATACCTGTTAAAAATGTTATACAAGTACTTGAACCTTGAGCAAAATAGTTAGAGTACACAAACTTGGTGGTGGCTTCTTGTAATTGTATGGAACTTATACCCACCATGCCTTGACACTCCTGGTGCTTTTACGATATTATTCAAATCATAGCTGAGCCGCTTTGGAATTAAGTAACCATTTACACCTGGGTGGAGAGTGGCAAATCTGAATTAATGTCTCGCTAAAGGACATTAGTTCCAGCTGGGATTCGAATTAAAAAATTAACCACTATACCATGACTCCTCCATAAAGTTATTTTGTTCTTCTTCAGCAATATAACAATTGTTCACCAAGAGTAAAAACAGCTCACCTATTTTTGTACTGCTTAGGTTGTCTCTTTTAAGATGATCTTTCTTTTGGAATTAAGAATAAAGTCTGGTTTTCAGTGCCTTCCTTTTCCCCTCCTATGACAATGGCTGATGTGCATCATGAAAAATCTGCATGAAAAGAATATGAGAGAGAGAGAGAGAGAGAGAGAGAGAGAAAGAGAGAGAGAGAAAAAAAAAAGGGTTAACATTTTGAATAATAATAATGGGTTCTTGTATAGCGCTCATATCTGTCAGACTTGACACTCCTGGCACTCCACATTTATTACCCTGGCAATAGAATGGCTGCCATAATGGCGCTCTAGCATCCCAAAGAATTAATTCCTGCCAAGTACCCTTTTAAATCACCTGGGTCGAGTGTGGCAAATGTAGATTAATGTCTTACCAAAGAAATTTGCTTTTCATTTCAGCCTCACAAGAAAATGGACTTGTTGCTTGAACAGAATAATGTTAAAACCATTGAAGATCTTGACAGAAAAGAAACATGTGAGTCGTTGAAATATGAGAGCAGAGCCGATCATTAAACACAAAGTTTCCATCTAATCAAGAACAGTGAAGTACTGCTAGAAATACAATGTAGCTGAAGTAGAAACTCGAGATCTTTTCTTCCTTCGCGACGATACTACCAAAACCAGTTTACAAGATATCAAACACCATTATGGACCAGCTTACAATGGATGAATGATTTTTCATTCTGTAGAAGTGCTCTCGAAACTCCTGATAGGTTTTTTTCCCAAGACTTTGAACCTAGCCATTGTTACTGCTATTCTATCCTCGTGTCATTTGTTATCGTTCAAAATTGCCTCTTGGTTTAAAACGAGAAAAATCTTGAGGTTATTATGGAGTGATTCCAAAAGTGAAAAGCTCATTAATATGTTCCTGCTCATTATCTATCAATGACCATGAAGAGTGATTAAAACAAAACCTAAGAGATAGTCAGTTGAAAGCTACATTTGTTGAAGGGCATAATAGTGTCAAAGAATACAGTTACCGGTAATGTACACTTAACTCTGCATATAAGTCAAATCTATCGGGACAGCAAAGATTACATGTACTTTGATAAGTCAAAGTGTCACAAGTATAAGGAAGTTATCTTTTTCTTTAATTTTTTTTTTTTTTTTTTTTTTTTGGGGGGGGGGGGGGGGGGGGGGTTGTCAGCTTTTGACAGAGTAGGGAGCATCTGATTGGTCCTATTAATAGGAAAATATACAGCATTCTATAATGCCTTTTGGGAAATTACTGCAGCAAGTCCCATATAAACAGAGAAAGTGGAAACTACATGTGTATGCAAAGTGGTACAGTAGATTCAAGCACCAAATGATAGGAGGCCCTCTTGTGGCTATGGCAAGAAAGGAACTTTCACAGCATTACTGCATAGTACATGTATGTATAAAGAGCAAATTAGAAAGGGCTTTAAAAAAGCTAGGGTATGTTAAATTATATATCTTAATGTCCTTTTGGCTCCAAACAGGAAATAAAATCAATGCACATGAAATATATATTAAAAATATGAATAAATTATTAAGCAAATCATAATAACAGAACAATAAGTCTCCCCACTCTCATGCAGGAGCAGACACTAACAGTAACATTCTTTAATAAAAACAAAATCTACTTCAGAATCTCTCTCTTATTTTCTACATGTATCTCTACAAAAATATCTGTATCTTTATGTATAATGTTGGACTGTTGGCTCATTTGACATTCAAAACAAACTGGAAAAATCACACTTTTCCATCTGTATCTGAAATAACTACAATACAATTTGAAGTAATACATACAACTGTACATGTACATGTACATGACTCTTTGATCATTCCCTTTAAGCTTACATTCCTACATGTACGTGTATGTTCCCATTGAGAAATAAGAGCAAGAGATCATGTTCTGTTTGTATTTTCTATGACCCTGCTATCATGACCAGGATGAAAGTCTAATGTATTTACTTGGCACAGCCCAATGTAATACATTGTTCACTTAGATCCAACACATAGAAATACTAGAAACTCAATGGGGTTATGTACATTTTGTTGCATGTACCGGTAGTACAATTGTATACAATTCAATCATACTACATAACCTACATGTACATGTATCAAGTGATTTGTTTGCCCCCCCCCCCCTTCCTTTATCTGATGTCCATTGTACAGTGTAATTCATATATTTTCTTTCTCTCTTGCAATCAAAATGTTAACTTCACTTGATTTAGAGTTCATTTCTGTTGAATGACAGATGAATCCATCAATAAATTAGAATTCAAATTATCATAAATATTTTATAGTTTGTTAATGAGTATATTTTCAGTTTTATTGATAAAATATGAATCAAATTCGATGCTGCTTTGGAACCAGGTGATCAAGTTCAGCAATTGAATAACTTACAGAATTTGACAGTATTAGAAACATTATAAATAAACAAACCAAAACAAAAAATAATTCAAAACATCTCTTTTTATTGGAACATTAAAATAAGATTTCTTTCTATTTTAAACCAGAGTTGTGATTGCTTTATGTACAAGTAATTTGTTATTGATATTGAGTATCAATCACATTCTCTTAAGAAAGAGTTGTGATCGATATAAATTGCAAATGAATTAAAATGAATCGCAACTCTTAATATCATAAGATTAAAGACAGGGCCTTAGTACTGTTCAAGACTTTCATAAATCAATCAGTAAGTCACTCACATCTACAGTTGTACATGTACATCAGAATCCAATTCAAAATCAAAATCAAGATCAAAATCAAGTTTACAATCAAAATCAACGATCAATGCTACATACATGTACATGTATACATGCACATGTAGTGATTGCTAATCAATATGTAATTTTCACTACAAAACTCCAATTCCAAAATTAAAAAGGAAATCAGACTATGACTATTCTCCCACAGATAATATGATCCACTTAAAACTACAGCTTCTCCTAAAATAGAACGCTCGCAATGAAATCATAACAGACCTGTTATACCCACAGTCTATTATTAGAACACAGGGAGATATTTATACCCCACAAACTATGACGAGACCTATTAAGTCACTACAAAAATGCTGAATCAATCATACATGTATGATCATCATTCTATGATTTTCTATTATGATTCATGGCAAAGAACTTGGCTAAGATAAGGTTGTTGAGAGTCAGGAGAGTGTCTCTATGATACATTACATGTAGTGCCTTCCTTGCTCCCATCAAAGAAGTTGTTAGGCCAAATAACAAAATAAAAAGTGTTTCTCAATTCTCATATATGACCTTTTTTTTTTAAAGGAGGAGGTGTCAATTTAATACCCTCCACTCCAGTATTTCTAAAACCTAAAAAGCATACTTGTTATATTGGTTGCCAAAGAAGAAGAATGTGTTGTTTTTTTTATGTCGCATTTCAAAACCGTAGGCCCCCTCAATGTGCTTTACATTTTACAAGTTATATTACACAACTGTACATATGTAATAACTTTTTTTATCAAAAAGATAGGTTTTTAGTTTCTTACACACTTTGACGTCTGTCATGGAGCGTAGCAATTCCTGTATTACAGGAAGTAGTATCCATAAGGCTTACTGCCTGAATACCCTTCATTTCTATTTTTTTTTGTTTATTTATTTAGCTATTTTTGTTGACTTTTTTAGCTTCTACCAAAAGCAATATTCATCATTCAGGTACATGTACCATTTCCAATAGAAAACCGAATGGTATCGTGCAAGAGATGCACTCTCATGTGTTTTTAGTCCACTGTGGTTCAGCAAAAAAAGGGGGGCATTGTGGGCATACAATGTACACCCTCTCCTCCTACTTTGCTATCTAATGATACAATACAAAACAGAAGAGAAAAATAGATTTTAAAAAGGGGGAAGGAAAGGAACAACAAAAGAAAACAAAACCCCAATTGGAAATTGAAATGTCTCAAAAAACTTGGCACTATCGATTGTGTACGTGCTTGTACACTGTAGTGCATGTACATGTAGATCCACTTTTAAAAGAATACCCCCTGCCCCCCCCCCCCCCCCCCCCCCCTGGTATTTTTTAGTTCATTCTGTAAAAGTTGCTACAATGTACATGTATTTTGTTAACCATGTAAAAATAATGGAAATTAATACATTTTGGATACCTTTATTCTAAATTTCACATCTACAATGTGAAAACTACAATACAATTGGGATGGCTTAGACAAATCTGAAACTTACCAAATGTACATGTACATGTACTGTACATGTTCATGTACTGTTGGTCTGTGCTATTTGCAAGCAGGTACAAGTTAAATGCAGCCTATCCGAAATACTTTTTAACTTTAAAATGTCACTCCAGAGAGTCCAGACAGTTTGCTCCACTTCATGTACAGTCACTACAGTATATGCAGCCTTAATGTACATGTACGGTACGTGAAAATACCGTTTACATATTCTTAAAGTTTAAAAAACAAACGAAAGAACCCTCAAAACTATCTCTTCACTCCCAGGTACAGAGTACAAGTATGTTAATCATAAATAATTGATATAGTTTTGCTTTTGATACTATCACATGTACCTTAACAAGCATTTTACATTTACTTCCTTGTTGGAGATAATGTAATACAGACAGAGAAGGGTGTGAATGACTGAATATTACTCGGTTTAGAAACCAATTAATTTTTTGAAAGTAATCATAAGGTTCCTGAAAGTGCGACACAAGAGTTGAGAGTGGAGGACACTCAAAACAGAGATATTAAACAGAGAGACAATATAAATACTACATGTACATGTGTGTACAGTTGATCAAGATTCAAGAATGGGAACAAGAAACGTGTTTGTATGCTGAACTTGTCTGTGTCCTGGAAACAAACAACTTTTAGTTTCGACTGGATCAACTGGATTCCTGGATAAAAATGCAGTTACTTCTGCTGAATAGTCTCCAGGGCCCAGTCTTACAAAGAGTTGTAATTCATCCAAATCAATCACAAGTCCTCCAATCAATCACAAGTTTGCAGTCTCCTATCTCTTACATTGTACAATGTATGTACTTGTACATACTGTACTTGCAATTGATATCAATCACAAATAAGTTGTGATTGATATCAACTCTTTGATAGATGGGATCCAGGTTTATCTTCTGCTTTATGTACTTACAGACACAGAGTAATATCAATTTCTTTATCTATTCTCCCCCCCCCCCTTTTTTTTTTCTGGGGGGGGGGGGGGAGGTTCTCAACTTTAGGCATTGTGACAGGGTGTTGTGCCAAAGAGATATTAATTTACTATTCTAATGGATGAGCATATTTGACTGAGCATACTTCAATTTTTCATTTTTGTTTGCTATGAATGCAATCATTCCTTTAAAAATGTTTTCCAATTACATGTATACTGGTGCCTCCCCAACGATGCTATGCAATGCCGCTCCCACACCCATCCCCCCCCCCCCCCCCACACCCCAGTCAATATGTTATGATGCACAAATTGCACATCTTGAATAGCATTGCATTTTTACGAAATGTGAGCATAAGCTTCAAATTTGGAATATTTTCATATTTAATTATTTGGAAATCCTACAATAATAATCAGCATATTACCAGTACCGGTAATTAAAATCATCATGGGAGTGTCGTGGTCGAGTGGTTAAAGGCGCTTGACTGGAGATGCGAAGGTCGAGGGTTCAAATCCAGACATGGCACTAATATCCTTTGGCAAGATAATAACGTGCACTTGCTACTCTCCACCCAGGTGTTAAATGGGTACCGGCCGTCATTGTTGGTCAAACAGTTTTTGAGCGTCAAGTAACGCCTGGCTGGAATGCTCCCCAAAGATCCCAGGGATGGGCAAGCACTGAATCCAATGACCGGGGTAATAATATATTTTTGTATAAAGCACATAGAGACATTTGTATTAAGCGCTATATAAAAGCTGAATATTATTATTATTATTATTATTATTATTATTATTATTATTATTATTATCCCCAGTTAGTTTAACTGGGGATGATATTAATTACTGGTACATGTACATGTACATGTACAGTATATGCGTCAGTGACACACACACAAAACCAACAAAATCAACGATCCAAATTGATAATGTCATCAAATCAATCATTAAATAAAATGTCAAATTGAATGTTTACAACATGATCATTTTAATATGATCAATGCACTCATCACTTGACATCAGCTCATACTCATAGCCATAATTACTATAGATCTAAGCCTACTCGTTCTGAAAAATATTAGCGAGGAGAGCTGAGCATATCACTGCAGCTCCAGACCAATCAAATCAAAACGACGTATCCGTGCAAGACAATTTGAAAACTGTAATACCTCAAATATCATAGACAGACAAGTGACAAATAATAGCAAGTGCTACAACCCCATTAGAGCACAAACTGAAAACTAAAGGCCAAGGAGCTCATTCTTCCCATCTACCAACATTGAATGGAACCATTTGGACGAAAACACCATAAACTCCACATCAACCAGCACATTCAGGAAGGCCACTGACAGAGCCTTTTAAGTACCCCCGCGCCCTCTCTCTCTACCGATGCGTTTATGCCCAGTAGGGCCCTGCATCGTACACATCCAGATCCAGATCCATATGCATGATCATGAATATGATTGTCGGTCAAAATTTGTTCTTTCTTTTCTGCTCCATCAAAAATAGAGATCCAAGTCAAACAGCCATTGGCATTTTACATCGCCCCGAGCATTACAAATACAATTACATGTACATTATTCAATTCATTGCCTTATAAATGCCACAACACAATGTCGCACAAGTTTTACGCACAAGTCATCATCATCCTCACCAGTCACACCACTGCCACCTTTCTGAATTAGGGTGACACTTCTATCTAGACTCAGATTTAAACTCCATTCAACTTCAAGATGAACATGACTAGTCTAAATAGTCTAAATCATATGAAACACAACACAACAGACAGTGAACTGAAACTTTAAAAATAAAGAATGAGCATAAATTAGATATATAATTTCTTAAAAAGTTTATATTTACAACAAAATTATTTACCTGTCTATACTTTGTCCATCTAAGATAAACGGTTCTGTCATCGAGTGGTCTTTCATTCTTCAAGTGCCTGCCAATTTCTAATCAATCTTTCCTATCTTCTTCCGGAAGTAAAACACACAATAATTCCATTACAAAATGGCCGCAATCGGAACGTTCGGAGAATAAAATCTATCCGGTTTGCAAAGTTATATTTAGGGTTCCCGATATCCAATCCAAATTTTACTTGGATAATCCGATAACGAATAGTTTTAGGTATTTAACATTGTGATCTTATGGTTGTTAAAAGTTGAGAAATGGTTGAAAATCAGCTGTGAACCGGTAGTGGTCGTCAACACTGCGTTAGCACACCTTCCCTGTATGAAGTCAAATTGTGTACAAAATTCCCATTGAAAGAATGGACTAACGCCTTTGGAGAAAGCGATAATACCAAGACGGGATACCAGTCTAAAAAGTGGTACCTGTGTGAAAACATGGTCTGATCTAAATAAGTAAATACAATGTGAAAATTCATAAAATCTTACTTAAATTTTGTTTTAATGTTCGATAAAACTTTCAGTCGTTGACTCCCAGCTAGAAAGTTTCCGGACTCTCTTATGAGTTTTCACATTCCATCTCTCTCTCTCTCCCTCTAGCTAATTCTTAGCTCTCTGTACTGGTGGTATCATATTTGTTTCTATCCGTCTAGGTATGATCTCTCTCTCTCTCTCTCTCTCTCTCTCTCTCTCTCTCTCTCTCTCTCTCTCTATCAGAGGCGGTCCTCCCGGGGGCAGGGGACACAGTGCCCCACAATTTCTCAAATACCTCAAAAGTGCCCTTTTTTTTACATAGGAAAGTGCCCCTTTAACTTTGGAAAGTCCCCCTATCAATCTGTAAAAGTGCCCCTTCCCCTTTTCACCTCTGATTAGTGCCCCTTTTATTTTGACACGTGCCCCTTTTCCTTCAACAAGTTACCATTTTCCTTTGCAATAAGTGTCCATTTCCATTTTCATAAGTGCCCTTGTTAATCTCGAGTAAGTGACTCTTTTCACTTTAGATATAAATGCCCCTTTTCCTTTTGATAACTACCCCTTTTTTTAACTCGGATAAGCGCCCCTCATTTTTTCCTTTCTAATAAGTTACTCCTTTTCCCTTTAGATAAGTGCCCCCTTCACTTCCGATAATTGCCCCTAATCAATTCTGAGAAGTATTAGTTTTACTTTGACAAGTGCCCCTTCCCCTCCTGATAAGCGCTCTTTTCATCTCTGATGAGTGTCTGATTTCACCTCTAATAACTGCCCCTTATATTTTGACACGTGCTCCTTTTCCCTTCTTATAAGTGCCCCTATCAAATTCTATTGGGTGCCCTTTTTCCATCGACAAATGCCCATTTCCCATTCTCATAAGTGCCTTTTTTCATCCCTGGTGAGTGCCCCTTTTTGTAGGTGTAATAAGTGCCCCACTTTCACCTCTGATAATTACTTGTTTGTACTTTGACACCTGTTCTTTTTCTTTTCCGCTAATAAATGTCTTATCCCTTTCGGTTTAGTGTCCCCTTTTCCTCTCATCAGTAAACAGTCACGCCCCTAATTTCAAGCAATTAGTGCAATTTCACATCGGGGGGGGGGGGGGTACTAAGATTTGATTTGGACTGGGGTGTGCCGCTCAAACCTCAAAACCCTGACCCATTTTTAAGGGTCATTTGGGGGGATTTTCTTGAAGTAAAGCCATTTTTCAATTCTTTCAAATTTTGAAAAAACGGACCCATGTTACAGAATATTTTTGTTAAAAAAGGGACCCCTGTTCAGGGTTTTTTGTGAAAAAGTGGCCCATTAGAGCGGCACGCCCCCGTATGTCTTAATATGTGAGTACCCCCCCCCCCCCGAAAAACACCAATAGGTCACTCGCTACACTCGCTCGCATTTATAGATGATATAATATAATGTTCCTTATGAAAGGTCTTTTCAGTCTTTCGTTATGAGAATATTATAACTCCATCAGAATTGGGTTATTTCCTCTTTATAAGATTAAATGTGAGCGAGCGAGCTTATTGGATGAAATTAAACAAAAATTGCTCTTAGTCGCTTTGAATTAGGAGCATATTTTATGGTGAAAGGAAATGGCGACTAACCAGAAATGGAAAAAAGGACACTTATGAGAACAAAAAAGGGGCACTTATTACTTAAGAAAAAAAGGGCAATTATCAGAAGGAAAATGGCACCAATAAGTAAGAATAAGGGGCACATGTCAAATTAAAAGGGGCACTTATCAGAGATGAAACCGTGTCAGAGGTACGATGGACACCCCATGAAGTATTTAAAAATCTGTAAGGCATCAATTAATATTTGTCATATTTGCAGTCATTGCATTTTCAGTAAAATAATTATCCTTTGATACCCAAGGACCCCAGGGGCTGCATTCTGAAACTTGTTTTATCTCTAATATTGTTGTATCTTTGCTGTTAAGATAAAGTTGGTATTCTGAATTTTGTTGTAACTTTTGTGTTAACTTTTATAGTATCCTTTTTGTCATCTCTTTGCCTGCGCTCAAACTTTTCTAATAAGATTATCAATAAAATAGCGCTTAATCCTCATTCGCATAATATCAGGGGCGGATCTAGCTTTCTGCTAAGGGGGGGGGGGTTGACCAAAATAATGACGATGCAGAGCATCGTCCACGAGCCGCGAAGCGGCGAGCCGATTTTTTGGGGGTGTTTATTTGAACCCCGTAAGTGATGTTTTCCTGGCATCTATTAACACAATGGAGACCATAAAAAGCAGTGCATGATAACGTCTTTTTAAATCAAGTAACAGTTAAATACACAGTTATATCCAGAGTTATCATGTGTTTGGTTAAGTTACCAGATGAGTTGAAAATCTTCTCACAATATTTGCACTTGAAAGGGTTTCTCTCCAGCGTGCGTTCTTTTTTCTTTCTTTTTTTTTTCACTTCGGCGGTGGCCCGTGTCCTCAAAAAAGCTGATGGGGGGGGGGGGCAAGGGACTCTGTGACATTTGTTCGCCCAACCCCCCCCCCCCTCCCCCCAAAAAGAAATAATAATAATAATAATAATAATAATAATAATAATAATAATAATAAATGAAATAAATACATAGAAATAGAATAAAATAAAATTACAAGTTTAAAAAAAAAGATAAGATTTAAAAAAAATGGTCCCCGGATTTTTTTATTTTTTTTGGGGGGGGGGGGGTTGCAACCCCCCCAACCCCCCCCCCCCCCCCCTCTAGATCCGCTTCTGAATATTATGCATATGGAAGATAATTATGACAATATAATTGGTATTCTGAATTGTTTTATCTCTTTTTTATTATATTAGCGCTCTATTATGTATGGAAGATAATTAAAAGACAAACTAAAACTTACAACAATTTTCAGAATACCGCCCCTGGTATTTCTGGATAGTTAGGTGCACATGCACACTCGTTGGATGTATCAAATATACCTGTCCTTTTTTTACAACTGAAATCCCGCCTGCATGGAGTGGGTGGATAAGCGGGGGCGTTCGTGATATCTCCATTACTCTTATTCTTTACTTATTTTCTGTTGTATGTTACTATGTATTGATGTTTTCGATGATGTTCTTCATAATTATATGTTGCATTTGTTTACAGGACCCCGTGGAAAACAGTACTTTGATTACTGCCGGGGCTACCTTGTTTAAATAAAACGGAATAAATAAATAAATAAATAAGTCTCTATCGGCAAACCCAGTATCCAGTGGGCTTGGGTTGACCCCGGAGGAGGCAAAACTCTCAGCTTCCTGATCCATTCGTATGAAAGTAAGAAATCCTTTTTTTTATGGGGGCTATTCCAAAGATGACTTGTTTTGAGGGAGAAAAGGGTAGAGTTTTTGAAAATTTTTTGTGCAATTTCTTTATTGATTTAGCCAACATTGATAAGGCCTAGCTACTAACTAAAAAAAATGATGTGGCTGAAGTTCTTTCTCTTGGTTAGAATTTGTTTCCCATTTGCCCCTCCTTCAAATACGAAATTCTATTTGTTTGTTTGTTTTTTTGTTTTTTATAAGGAGGGAGGGGGTAATGGTAGGCCTGTACCCCTTCGCTCCCATTTAGGTCAGTAGAATGATAATGATTGAACAAATTAATTACGTTTTAAGGAAAATTACAGGAGGCATATACGATGACCAAATATAGCCCCCCCCCCCCCTTATCCGCTTGTCAATAAAGAGCGATGCCGTAGAAAATTTAATTGTGAGATGAGATGATCTCTTGTGGGCATATTAGATTCAGTTAATATTTTTATTATACAAAAGTTTGATAATTCTTGATGCTATCAAATCAATTTAGCAAGACGAAAATGCTTTTCATTCGAATCTATAAAAGCCTCGAAGCCAAACAGAACGACGCCCGCTTTTTTGGATGCTATTACCTCTTTTCCAGTAAAATTGTCTGTTTACTGAAAATAATACCTTGCGTCGTCTTGTGGAGGCGATGTTGCAATGTCCATAAATGGTATATAATTATGAAGCACAGAATAAATTCGTTAAAGGCTCAGTACGGGTTTGAAAATATAGCCAGGTTTCCGTTCCAGAATAATTAGTTTTGGGCATATAATATTATTGTGGCAATGTGGCATGTAATTTCTCGGTACATATAAATTGTCCAATATAATTTCAGTGCCGATGCAAGGTCCGCGGTTCGAGTCCCGCCGCGGCACTAATGTCCTTTGGCAAAACATTGATCTACATTTGCCACACTCAACCCAGGTGATGTGAATGGGTACCTGGCAGGAATTAATTCCTTGAAATGCTGGAGCGCTGTATAAACGGCTGCTATGCTAAAGCCAGGGTAATAATAAATGTGCCTCGGAATAGAATTATCTAGATAGATGGCGCTATAGAAAATATGCTTATTATTATTATTATTATTATTATTAACGCATGTATTTTTTTTTTTATAAACATCCAATATCCAAAAACCCCTCTAAAGTGTTGGGAAACGGAGTCCCCAAAATTTGATGGCAAAATTTTACTAAAATTCTATATGAAAGAGGATGTTCAAAACACATTTCTGCAAGGATTTTCAAAATAAATGTGTTTTGAAGGCGAAACTTGAAATAATACCAAATTTAGATTTCCTGTGTAGGCCTACATCAAAAAAAACCAAATTATGTATTCTTTTATCAATATTTGTCTTCGAACATTTTTTTTTTTTTTGGGGGGGGGGGATCTTCGCAAATGAATTCCTCTTTTCACATTATGATACAATAATAATTTTAGAGAAATTTTGCCTTCAAAAGTTTTGGCGAATATGGGGCTCCCGGCCGCGAACCCGGCCAAACACTTTAGAGGGGGCTTAAAACATCGCATATATTTTTAGCCACATAGGTCTAATATATGTATTTTTGTATAGACTAAACATATTTAAATAACGCATATATTTTTATCAACATCGAATTTATTTTGATAAGGCATATATTTCTTATAAACGATGAATTATATTTTAATTGTGCATATATATTTCCTTATAAACATTGAATGTATTTTGATAATGAACCATATATTTTGCAGGGATCGCATATAATTAGTTGTTTCCCCTATGGCTTTCCATAAGCCATATTTACAACGCAATGGATCCCCGACGCGACGCGGGAAATTCATTGACTGTGTATATTATCAAAGCGCAGTCGGTTAATGTCCAGCATTTGTACTATTAATTATTATTATTCCTGAATTTAAAAATGCGTCGTGGTGCTTTGGTAGTGTTTGAGGGTTGTGATCGCTCAGGGAAATCGACACAATGCAAGAAACTGGTGGAATCAATGTTAGAGAAAGGAATGAAGGCTGAACTTATGCGTTTTCCAGGTAAACAAATGAGGGTCATTAATTGATTCTTCTATTTTTTAATAATAATAATATCGATTCTCATTCTAGTTATCAGCATCAGCATCAGTGTACGGAAGTGTAAGGGGATCCTGTTATTGTTAAAATCTATCTGTCGTTTCATTGAGTGGTGCTTAATTCTAACCATCTAGATCTAGATCTATTTTTGCTTGCATGGATTGGTGGGTGTACGCAGTTACGTACCACATGTTTAATTTTATGGAAGCATTTGGACGGTGCTGAGCGATTATTTAGAGGACCAGTGCTTGTCCAATCTAGTTTTGAAAGAAGGGAGTGATGATGCGGAATATAGATCTAATAGTTAAACAACTTTGAGGCAAGCAAAATATGTTAATTAACATGTCGACTGTCAACTCTGTCTTAGTTTCTCTCTCCTTTCTGTATTTGTTAACACGTTTTTGGTTATCCAATTTCGAGGAACATCATGATCCGTCAACACAATACACTGCCGGGTTCTCTTCTTCTTCTTCTTCTTCTTCTTCAAGATAATCTGCCTCCTTCAATTAACAGTTCAATACTGAAAATTCTTGCAGATTCCGTATACTCGGCCTGATTAGGGTGTGCAGGTGGACCATTACACCCGGGTTTCCCCTAGAACCTACTCTTATACGAATAGTGCAATGGGTGCTTAACATGCAAGGGTGGTGACTCTCCTGTACACGGGGCCTCCATTTAACGTCCTATCCGAGGGACGGAGTGTTTTCCACTTGACATAACCTGCGTCTATGAACAAGGGAAGGGGCACGTTAACACACAACGCAGACTTCAGTCATCCGCCTGGGTGGGAGTCGAACCAGGGATCTTTGGTTCGACAGGCAGACGCTTTACCGACTGAGCCAACTCGCCTCCCTTAGGTTAGGTTAGGTTATTATTTGAATATAGACTATGGTGACATGCATCTAAATCTTTGTATTAAATTTACATGTAGGTCTATCAAGAAAGTGAAAATTAAATTCAAATGTATATTTCGATCAAATTCTGTGTTCTTTCCTTTTTTCCAGAGAGATCCACAGTCATCGGAAAGCTTATTGACAGTTATTTAAAGAATAGCAAAGATGTTCAGGATAATGCAATACACTTATTGTTCTCTGCAAACAGATGGGAGCTTAAGTAAGTATATTAAAGTAAATTCTCAAATATTTCCTTTTTCCTGCCTCATCTGTTGTCACTTTTCAGAGTGAGGACTGGAACAAAAGAATCATATAGACAAATAGACGTCCTCCTAGTGTCAAAAAAGAAAGTTCAGGGTTTTTTAGGCATTTGATTACGGTCAGATGAACATACTTTTACACCTTTTTTGTGACACTGGCAGTCCTGACACTATTCTCCTTAAAAGCAGTACAAAAATGGGGTAGACGGAAAAAAGAAAATGAAAGTAGAAAAACAAACCAACTAGGAACTCAGGAAGGCACTAGAACTTGGCTTTAGTAGCGTTCTGGGATCCACCACTCACACACACACACACAAGGTTATCTACATGTATAAATAACACCTTCCGTTTAATTGAACTGCCAAGACTGCCTTCTAGTACAAGGTCTAGACAAGTGTGTGCCTTTGAAAGTGTGAAACCTCTGTGAGAGGCTCAAAGGAGAGACATCAAAGAGATCGCCCAAAAAACCCTGAAAATTCAATTGATCAAGGTGATGGAAAAGCAAATGAAGGAATTTTTATGGAAGCAGGATATTTTGTCATCCTTTATTGTAAAAAGCAAATATTTCCCCCCGAATTGGCCAATATTTCTGAAGTTTTTTAAAACAATTCAATGAAGAGGCCAAAGGCTGCAGAAATTCATACAAAAGGTTCTGTGAGTGGAAATCCACTAGCTTCCTCTGGGATTCTAACTTGTCAATTCGACAATGTGGTAATTTACAGAACTTTCCCGAATACCAACAACAACTTCCACGAATACCCTTTATAAAACTCTTATCCTGTTTGATTTTGTATCAGAAACTGTTCTCGGAAATCAGTTGCCAGCTGTTTTGTTGACTTCTGTTTACATACATGTATGTGCGTAGGGCAAGTCATCATGTTCTTGGGCAAGCAAGCAGTCTATTACATTCTGTTTGTTCTCTAATTATTCTTGTCCTTTTTGCTCATGAACAGACCCGAGATGGAGAGGAAGCTCAATGAAGGGGTGACGTTAGTAGTGGATCGCTATGCTTACTCAGGGGTTGCATTCACAGCAGCAAAAGAGGTTAGTGGGACTACAGCTTGATATTTTTACAGTCAAGCCTACAGTCAGTACAGGACTGGGAAAAAATGATAGGAAAGCGTATGGAACTAGAAAATTAGCAAAAGTGAAATCCCATCTTCCCTGTTTTTTTAGGCTGTGCCCTTCCGATTCTGTTGACTCGTATGAGAAGACATACCACGAATCTTTGTTTCTTATGTCATTTTGTTCGTTTGTTATGTTTACCATTATTTTCCTGACGTAAAGTACGTACATTGAGCGACATCTGAACAGATTTTGCTCACTACATATAAAAAACAATTGTTTGTATAGTCTTTCTTTACTTTCTTTATGCCAGGAATGAGTTGATGTCATAGATGAACTTGTCAATAATAATTAAGTCAATTACTTTTATTAGTCACTTATAAATCCTTTTGATTTCATTTTAAATGATATGACACAGTGCATCATATCATTTGTATGAATAAAGCTGAGCAGAAAAATCTTTTAATTTAAACAAAAGTAACTTGATGACTAATTTGTTCTGGCCTGGGTAGAAAATGAATGTTTCATTCTATAAGAGTTACTTTTGTGGTACTGGTACTTGTATAAATGCTCAGTGATTTTATGAATCACTCATTTGCAGAAAATTGGTTTTTATACTTGTGCAACAGCTCTTTCTATATCTTTAATTTGACTGGGGCTTTTTCAAGAGTTTAGAGGGCTAATAAGCCCTCATCTGCTTGTACATTTTTTTCCACTGATTCTGATCATATATAATTGTACAGGTTAAATCTAAATGGATCATTTGAATTTCAGCTCTTAGTATTTGTGTATTTTCTTTAGGGTATTTCCTTAAACTGGTGCAAGCGACCAGACGTTGGGCTCCCTCTTCCAGACCTAGTCTTATTCCTAAAAGTCTCAAGCGAGGCAGCGGAGAAGAGAGGCGGCTTCGGCGAGGAGAGGTACGAGAAGTCCGAGATCCAGGCCAGGGTCGCCAAGAACTTTGAGAAGTTACAGGAGAATGACTGGGAGGTGAGAAGAAGGGAGTTACGGGATAGACTTTGAGTTGATATTCTTGTGTTTGAGTGGATGTGTCACCGGACTGTGGGTCACAAGGTCCGCGGTTCAAGTCCCGCCTCGGCACTAATGTCCTTTGGCAAGACATTAATCTCCACCCAGGTGTTAAATGGGTACCCTAAAGGATGCGAAAGTTAATGTGGTTAGATGAGCAAATGTGCGCTTGTAAAAATGATGCCTGGCTGGAATGATCCCCAGGGAGTGGAGAATGTGCATACATTGTGTGCGGGTAAACCTGGATCTGGTGACCGGGGTAATATTATATCTGTAAAGCGCTTTGAGAGGACCTGCAGTCCTGAAAACGGTTTAAGAACAAACTATTATATTATTAACAACTGTAAAATACCCCTCACCATTCTAGTAACTCTCACTCTTAACCATAACCCTGACCCTTGACCCTATAACCAAACTCTGACCCCAAATTGTAACATTACCCTTATCTTATACCTAACCCTGATTTTTAACTCTAATCATAACCTTGGCACTAACCCTTTCCCTCGTTCTTACCCTGACCCTATCTATGATTCCTACCCTACCCATAACCCTTATGTAACCTTGACCCTGACACTAACCCTAAACCTTTTCCAAAATACAGTATAACCTCAATTTTAACGTTAACCCCAACCGCCAACCCTAACCCCAACCGCCAACCCTAACACCAACCCTTTACCTCATCCTTATCTTAATCCTAACTCGAGTGAGTCTGACCCTGACGGTCTGACCCAACCCACCTCACCTATAACTCTAAAACATTGTACGAATGTGTTGTGGGATATTCTGCAATTAACCCATCAAACGGGGAAGTCTATCCTACTTTCGGTTTCATTAAAAACAGAACAATGACAGAAACAGATAGTGCAGGTTTTTAGAAAAATCCATTGAAAAACTAGCAAGTTATTTGTTTTTAATGGCAATCCTATGACGTAGCTTTAGGACATTGAAATTTATGAAATTTGCAGTACAGAATAAATGGGAGACACCCTCAAAAAGGTTCATCACAGAATGCCAATTTGCCTTTTACTGATTAACACTTTTAGATATTCTTTTCATTTTTTTTTTCTGTATCTTTTATATATTACTTCTTGCATGATTTTTCTTCCCTCAGATTATAAATGCTGACCAATCCATGGAAGACGTCCAAAAGCAGATACAAAACGTAGTCTCAAATCTCATGAACCAGGATCTACCTGAACTAGGAAAATTATGGACTGAACAAGATTCAAATTTAAAAATGTAAATGTTTTTTTATTAAAAAAATTTAAAAGAGAATGAAACATCTGAGGGATGCCGGTTCCCCTAAAAGATAATATATATTGTTAGTTGAGGTCATGGAAATCATTCTGGCTCATGCTATACCGGTACATCAAATTGGGAACTCCATGATGTCATGCTATAATACATGTACGAAATTGTATTGTTTGTACCCCAAATTAACAAATAATTTGTTGTAATATTTTTCAATTTGTGATGTCTGCAGTAGATCTACTTGTATCCAGATTTTTTTTTTTTTTTTTTTTTTTGGGGGGGGGGGGGGGGTTGGCTATGAGTTAGTGAGATTTCTTATTACCGGTAACCTGTTTTTGTGTGTTGGAAGAATCTATCATGCTTCAGTATGTCTACACCTTTCTTGAAGATAGTCATAGACTAGAATCTGAAGAATAAAACTATGCGTGTATTACTATGTAATGAACTGTCTATACTATTGTTTTCTTTCAATTTGTATTAATCTATTTCAATTCAATTTATGTATTCCACAATGTCTTCCAGGCTGAAATTTCAATTCATGTATTTCAGGCTATATTCCAGGGTATCATTACATTCCTTATTGGTGTAAACATAAAAGCACTATACAAGCATACAAACTGTTAGTTTAAAATGTTAATGTAACAGTTTGTATGCTTGTATAGTAAATAAGATAAATATTATCTGTACATACATCAGTCTACCATAGAAAAGTCGCCAAAGATCAAACAGTCTGTAATTACAGAACAATGAGAAAGATGACAATTTTTGTGCAGGTATTCCTGTAGATGTTTTCCATTTTCAAGCATAACTTTGCTACAAATCATATTCGATAATTATTTGATAAATAAATGTTCAAATTATAAGTCTTAAAGTATACTGTTTTCATTATTTTCTTAACTAGAAATAGAATTTGGTCTTTTTTTCCAATGGACATGAGTTAGTATCTTCTTACCGGTACCGGTACTTGCAAATTTTTATTCGCTCGTCGCCAAAGGTTCACCTAGCCCTTGCCCTTTATTTTGATGAGAATGCACATTCCATCACTGAAAAGTGAAAAACCATAAAAAATGGGGTATCATTTTAAAGAGGAACAAACACACTTTCTAACATACTAAACAAAGCAATGCTAATGCCATATCAAGAGAGATATTATCAATCAAACTTGAGTTTCCAAACTTTTTTTGAGGAACTTACATAAGAAAAGTAAGGATTAGAAAAGTAAGGATTAGAATTAGTGTGTAATCTTGAAACATTGCATTAAACAAACCTCTGGGGACCAAGAAGGTTGCCTTGTTACATCAGTTTTCACCAACAGTAGAATACAAATGGGACCAGCAATGCTGTTACGAGAGAGTTCTTAATAACGAGGTCATACTGATTCTGCCAGTTCCATCTCTAAATGAAATAATGGCATAAGAATTTCATTAGAGTGGTACATTATAAGTGTTGCAAACCATTTTTCAATTGTCTGGATGAATTGACATCTTTACTAATTTTATCCATACTTCTTGAAGAAAGGTATCCCTTGACAACCCGGTAGCTTACCAGAGGTTTGCCAGACATAGCAACAGTTAATGTATGCAAAGTAACCATAGCTTCTGCTGGAAACATGCATAAATTTAAATACATTAGTAAACAGATCTGTAGGTTCATGTTTCAACAGTGTCTCCATGCATGCAGACAACTGGGGCCCATTTCATAAAACTTTTTATCTATAACAAATTCTAGATTTCTATGAAAAATTTGCTCTCGGCCAATCATCAGATGCCATGATTTCAGTAGCTTATAACAGTAGTAGCTACTAACTTGTTATTGATATCAAGTTTTATGCAATAGGGTCCTGGATTTGTCTACCCACAAGCCGTGTCTGCATCAAGTATGCCCAGCCCTTAAAAATTATTTTGTTTTCAGCACTTGATTATGTAAATCACATAAAACACAGGCTCACTCATCTGTTTAATATCTTCACATTGTAAACATTTTATTAGACATCTCTTTAAAAATGCCAGCTAGATATAAAGCGACATTTCATTTACAAATGTACATAGTATTGCTTCCAAGCTGACATTGGACATTGGTGTATCCACTGGGCACGGCAACCACTCTGCACATTTTTCCTGCATGTTCCTATTAAAGACATATATGGTCTATGTGTAAAACAACTTTCAAAGCACTTCCATAAAACATCATTGTTGCACTTACCAAAATGTTTGATATTTACCCAAAAAAAACAAATGATATATTATATCTCTCAAATTTAATGACGGTAGGAAGGATAACAAATAACTTTTATAAACAAGACTGCAGCATTTTAACAAAATAATACCCGGTACACAATAAGTAGCATAACATAGGACTTGATTCATTCAGGGATAAGATTCTATCATTAACAACAAAAAATGAAATAATTTTTAACATTTGACACTGCAATCATTTCTTTAAAGTATCAAAAATCAACGTGGTATAATTGTCACTATGATTCAACTTTTGATCCTTCAATTAAATGCCACGGCTTTTTAAAATATACTTTGGCAAAACAAGAAAAATGACTGTACTAAATCCTCTTCAAAATGTTTTTTTTTAGGGGGGGGGGATTATTATACAATTAAACAATTAACTCTGCATTATTCGAAGTCGCACAAATCCAATTTTCTCTAAGTCAAATCAATTTTTGGACCAAACTATGTAAAGCATGTGTCTTTTACACTTCCTGAGTCAAGTTTTGCATACATGTAAGTCGAATGTTTTTTATCGCCTGTGTTGACTGTATTTTGAATCTTTAGTGTTTATTTTGCACTTACTGTCACACATTTCATCAACATAAAAAGGACAGTGTAATCAGCACAGAAGCAGAATAAAATAAATTAGAATGAACATATAATACACCAAAGGAAAACTTGTCATGTGATAGACCTTTCATTGCTTTCCCAAATCCACACAAATTATTTCATCAATCAATATCATGGGCCGTGCAGGGTGATTTACAAATCATCAGATTCGCCCATATCATTAATGGGACCATTATCTCACTTGCAAGGACATCAAGATCGCTTGCCCATCTCAAACAACTAAAAAAGAAAACAAATTAATAATAAAGCACACCTATGGATCAACAGAACCCACTGCTGCTAAAAAGGGACTCAAATTGTTTTGATTTAATTGTCCATGGACAGGATTTTTTTGGCTGGGGGTGAATAATTTTGTAGGTCACACTGTCTTTTCGATTCAGTGAAAATACATTTACTCTCGTATCTTCGCTATAATCTTTATTTTCTTATTACAATTTCAGTATGAAAGAATTTAACACTTTTCATGATATATATATATTTAAAAATAATATCTGTTTGCATATTGACAAATTCCTCCAATATAATGGAACATGGGTTCACATATTTGAAACTTCAAGGATATTATACTTAGTTTGTATTACCAATCAATCAAATGCCATTATTTATATCATGATATGTTATGATTATTCTGAAATGTTATTATGATTATTCTGAAATGTCATGATTATTATGAATATGTGTTAATTTTACATGCAAATTTATTACTGAAATTTAATTAATGTACTTCTTTTATTTCAAAATTAATTTATCACACACATATTTCTTTTAGTATCTAAGGACTCATTCTGGTCAAAATATGTTCCAAGTTCATGATTTAAGGTAAGCTCAATTTTTTTAAAACAACTGTCAATCAGTTAATATTACACTTTTTAAAAATATCTGAGACTTCGCCTGAATAGCATAGAATATACATTCAATTATAATGTGTAACTATATATATTACAAGTATATGTACATTATGCTACACTTTGAATTGTTTTCTAGTTGTATATAAGTGAGTGCGGTCGGTGGTTAGAAATCAGCATTTGAGGGGGTGCTCTGGCACTGTGGCGCCATTCTGAACTAACTGCTGGGAGATGGATGCTAACCGGCCAAAGTTGGCCGCGGACTCGGAAGAGCGGATGGCTTTAAGGTTCCGCGTGACCCGCTCTGATGCCTCGCTGCACCACAGCTGGCAGATCTGTTTCTCGTGTTCGGCGGCTGGGGCGTTTTCTGAGAGCGAGCGTGATGCCCTGTCGAGGAAAAGCGTGCAAACATCGGTAATTAAAGCCTTCAAAGTTTTCTTTTGAATAAAAAAATACCTTCAAATAGGGATGCCAGTGAGAATTGTTCCGAGGGCCTGAAAATCACCTAGAATGAGCATAAACTATGGTCTCAAAATAACTCTCTAGGGCCTGAATTCAGGCTATTGCCTGAAAATTGGCATCCCTGCTTCAAAATAAGAAATTGCTGATACTGAAATCATTAGCCAATTCACTTTAAACAGAAGTGGAAAAGTGATCAGTCATCGTAATTGCAGTCATCATAACGGCAACCTTTGATGTCATGTGTGACATGGCTTATGATTCTTCAATTGCTTTCAATAAAACATAAATTCCATCCGTTTACATTAGCATAGACACTGTATGAACAACAGAAGAAGCATTTAATGTGTGAGATATCATGCAAAAAATAGTTTTCCAACCAGTTAACGTTTATTTATTTGTATCATCTAACAATTTCTTAACACGGCAAGTGATAAAAGTTCATCGACTAAAAAAAAGACGAAATATAAGGAAAAAAAGAGGGCAGATAGGTAAAGTAGAAGAGAGTAATGAAGATAGAGACATGATTAAACACTTCCATACCACCTAGTCATAAATGGAATTTCAATGATTTTTTTTCAGTAGAAAATAACTTGGTATATATACTATCTACTATATATATAGCAGAGCCTGGGAATAAACTTTAAATTGGAAGAACTTGTTATTGTTTCTGAATAAAACTTGTAGCCTATATGAGTGAAAAATGAGTTCATGATCCACTAACTTGGGCAGCATCTGCTGCCCCCTACGTGGAAGGAGTTACGAAAGAAAGAAAGCAAACGAGGTAAAATAGCTAAAGGAGGAGGCAGGGAACAGGATGGATCCCTGTGAAACATCACATTTAAGATACAGAATGTCATCAGAGTTAAAGATGAAGTTGAGTTCTGGTCATGCGCTTGCATTGTGAAAGAAACGGTGTGGAATCGACCAGAAAAGGTTGATCATCTAGCATATAAGAATTTGTGTGTATTGCAAGGTTCTGGAATCATCAAAATGATAAGAAATTTGGCCAAGTCTTGGTAAAGTTACAAACACTGTTCACAGAAAAAAGTATATGGGACCACACGAACACATGGCATAAAAATCCTACCCCGAAGTTTTACGATGTTACATGACATATTTAGAATATGAAGGCATTTGAAGAGCCATGCTTTATCTGATGTTCTTCCACACTTGCATAATAAGAATGATAACGCTCACAAATTATTTTTCACCTCTTCCCAGAACTCAACCTTCTCTTTAACAGAGTTATAATTAGTGTATTGTCTTCTCATAGATAAGTAACTCTCAAGCCATTGTAAAGCTATGCAATGATATGAAGAGAGCTAAAACATGGAAACTGCTTCAGTACTAACCTTGACAGCGTGGCCACCATAGAATAGATGTCAATCGATGCATCGGCCACTCTCCACAGGAAGAACTGCTTGTCAACAACCTTCTTGCCGTGCTTGACGAGGAGGCCTTCGACCGCGACGCCGAACTCCTCGATGGATGTTGCTGCCTTGGTGGCTGACTCCTGGAGGTCTGGGTGAACGTACTGGTTCAGGGAGGGGCCCGAGTTGAGTCCAACCATCCTAGGATACAACAAAATGGAAAGGGAGATACAGTCAAACCAGCTTTAGGGACCACCTGTCTATAAAGACCTTTGCAATCGGATACATTTGATTGGAACCAGAAAGGCACTAACTTAAACACAGAGTTAACGCTGTTCTGGCTCTGAACAGGGGATATGTTGGTTGAACTATGTATAACACTAATCAATATCTGAGTGAAGATACAATACTGTTTGATGCCATGGATTCAATCATTAAAAGTTGCAATATGACACACTATTCAACTGTTGTGGTTATTTGTAAAACAAAATACATTGACTGAATATCAATTTTGTTTCTTTCACATGTATGCTAAGTTGCTATCATATAATAGTCATCAATTCTAACGAGAGGAAGGTTTTCAGGATAAAATAAAAATATCTGTAACAGAATCACATTAGATAGTAGATACTTTGACATAACACATGCTTTAACTTTCGATATTCAACAAAAATACCATATTGGTCCATGAAGTTATTACACTATTGTACGACATGTAAGTATATACTCTATACTAGTAGAGGCAAATTTTGATGAAAATGTATTGCGATGGAATGGTTGTACAGATTATGTATGAGAATTTAATCTAATATATCCTATGTGACATTGCTTGAGTTTATTACCTCAACAAACCCCTTCGATCCCCACCCAGAATGAGAGAAGACAGATGAGAAGAAGAAGGAAGAAAATCAGAGAAGAATAACAAGAGAAAAGATAGGAATGATAACAATAGGGAGTAAGCATGAGGCAGAATATTAGTTAACTGTGCAAAGAAAATAAACATTTTAGATAATAAGGTGATAACAATTTGAAAATGTGAAGAGTTGAAAGATACATGCAAATGACATTGATGACTCATCTGATACTACAAGTAGATCATCTACGCAACGATACAAAGAGTGACAGTCATATTTTTGAAAGAGAAAATAAAAGATCTTATAGCTGCCACTTTGTCAGGGCTTGCCTTGGTAACCTTTGACACGATAAGAAATTGTCTGTCTCCTAATGTAACAAGACACTATAAGTCTACTTGACTCTAAGAAGTCTGTCTTTAATGGTATGAAGCCAGAGCAAATGTTGCAAGAGTCAGTGTTGAACGAGGAAAAATAGCTGGAGTAAATGTTGGAGGAGGAAATATAGCTGGAGCAAATATTGCAGGAGCAGATATAGCTGAAGTAAATTTTGCAGGAGGAAATATAGATGGAGTAAATGTTGAAGGAGGAAATGTCGCAGGAGCAAATATAGCTGGAGGAAATGTTGGAGGAGCAGATATACAGTAGCTGGAGTGAATGTTGCAGGAGTAGATATAGCTGGAGAAAAATTGTCAGGAGCAGATAAAGCTGGAGTAAAGGTTGCAGGAGCAAATATAGCTGGAATAAATGTTGCAGGAGCAAATATAGCTGGAGTAAATGTTGCAGGAGGAAATTTTGCAGGAGGAATTGTAGGACAAAAGGCTCCTTACCTCTTTGCTCTCTTGTTGGCCTCATCCATAATCACACCAATGTTGCCTGCAGGGTTGCGCATTGCCTTCTGTAATCCTTGTAAGTGCTTGCCTGCACTCTGCAAGAACAATCAAGAAAGGGAAATGGTAAATACAGAGATTAACAAGATAATTCAAAACTTTTTCATGTATATTCAAGCAGCTAAAATAACATGTCTCATTCAATACTTTTAAGAATATTTCTGACTTTAACATCTTTTTCATTGTCACTCTCGCTCTCTCTCTCTCTCCCTCTCTCTCTCTCTTTACTCTTTCAATTTTTCTCATATTTTACCCATCTCTTGTGATCTTAAAACTCATCTGTGATACACACCCTGTGACGAATAAAAGCCACAATGAGCCTAAGAGGTTTACCTCCAGAATTATGAACAGTACAACTATTTGTAGTTCAATTTAATTCTTTTTCCTCCTCTATAATTCTTTCGTCTCTCTCTCTCAAACTTCCTACCCAATCGATTTCAAAAGCCCATCTGTGTTACATACCTGTAGTCCTGTAAGAGAGACAAAGAGCCTCAGGATGTCGTTGGTTCCTTCAAAGATTCTGAAGATCCTCAGATCACGCATTACTCTTTCTAGTCCAAAGTCCTAAATGAAGAAAATACAAGTGTATATTAAGCTTACACTGTCTTTAACTTGATCACAAAAGAGATTTACAGAACACGGAATTATATGGAATTATATGGAATATCTATAGATAAATTTAAACTAGAACTTGCAGGGGTAAGTATGCCCTGCCCAACAATGGTCATCCATACTCAGTTACCTGCATGTTGTAAGATATATATACTTAAAGCCTCACTGCCCTAGTTTGGCCAGGAGGGATTAGATCACCCAGCGTGGTCACTGACAGGTGGTTATCTCATGAAGTCAGCTCTCAATTAACATAAGAAAAAGAGGACCATGGGGGACCAACAGGCACTGCTTAGTCATTGTTTTCTATAAGGAGGGAAAAAGTATCTATAAGTAGTGCAGTGGGGATTTAAGTGACCTTTCAGAATACCAGTTTACTAATTGAGCATTAATTGTGGGCTAAGTGAGCTTTTAGAATACCGCCCCCGATCAATATTTACCTTCATGTATCCCATTCCGCCACAGATTTGGATGGCTTCATCTGCAACAAACCATGCTGCCTCCTGAAAGACACATCATCAAAGAATAAAAGTAAGGAATAAAACTTTCTTTTATCTTTTCTCTTTCACTACATGCATTCACTGTGGCTTGTCCATACATGATACACCACTTTCTTCTAGTTGTTTTATTAAAACCATGTTAATGACTGGTAAATGGAAAGATGATAAAAAGTGGCTATGCTTATGCTCCATCTGTGTGTCAGTGTTAGTGAAGTGTATCACGCTTACGTCTTTAAAAAAACAAAATGCAGTGGTTTATAAAGCATCGTATGTGAAGCAGTCACACATTTTTTTCATTTCAAAAGAAAAGAAAAGAAATGTGGTCTTTATAAGCAGGTGGTCATTAAGTACAGCTTACTTGATGAATTCAATGATAACAGATTTCAATGAAAAACATGTTCCAGAGAAGTAACAATATAGTCTTTATGACCAAATGGTCTCTTTATACAGGTGGATGTTAATGAGGGCCCGTAAAACTTACCATTGATGGCAACTTTGCCATCAACGGCAAATACCATGGTAAAAGGCCTCAAAAGCCAATAAAAATCAAGGTTTCCATGATAGTTACCATTGATGGCAAAGTTACCATCAATGGTAAGTTTTGTGCAATGGGGCCCAAGTTATTTAAATTTTTTTAAACTGAGTTGGGATTGAGGTCGGACTTACCGAGGCGAAGATCTTGCTGATGGCGGCTTCCAGCTGAAACTCTTTAGAGCCAGAGTCCATGTTGGAGCACAGAAGATAGGCCATGCTCTCGTTAACGTACTGCAACGTAGCCATGCGAGCCAGCTTCTCCTGGATGGCACCGTAGGTGTCGATGGTACCGCCAAACTGCTTGCGACCAGCTGCATGCTCAACCTACACAAGAAATACAGAGATAAGATCATCACTATATCATTTTAACCATTAAAAGTATATAATTTTGAGTTTAAGTGGATGTCTGAACACATGAGATAAAATACACTCTTTTTAACGGCCATGCAAGCCAACTTGCCAAACCAACTTGCCAACATGTCAATGGTACTGCCAAACTGCTTGCGACCTGCTGCATGCTGGACCTGCAGGAGAAATACAGAGATAAATTTATCACTCAATCATTTTAACCCTTGAAAGAATAGAATTTTGAGTCTCAATCCATGTTCGTACACGAGAGATGGCAATGCTGTCAGTATATCAGCCAGTTTCTGGATGGCACCATGCTTGTCTGTGGCACTGCCTATCAAACTGCTTGCAACCTGCTGCATGCTGAACCTGCAACATTGATACACAGGTAGATCTATCCAGTGATCATTACCACCCCAAGTGGTTAATAGTAACATTAATTATACAAACAAATTTTAGGGTATTGCAAGCGTCCCTGTGGGGGTACATCCCGATCAGTTCTGAATCATAGTGGCATTAGACCAGTCATGTGGTAGTCCACGATTTGAAGCCAATTTGGCCTTTTCTCTTAGAAAGCTTACAATGTAGACTGCTGATATTTACATCAAAATATTCTGTGTTTATATAGCGCTAAATTTACCGGCCTTGTCTCTAAGCACTTCACATATATATCATTACCCTGGTCATCAGATTCAGGCTTGCCTGCACACAATATATGCAAATTCTCCACTCCCTGAGGAGCATTTCATTATTTAGAACATCAGTCAAGAAGATTACGTGTTTCTAAAACTTTCATTTATAATCTAGGGTAGATGGAAAACATTTTCGAAATCAGATCAAGAACGGATTGTATAATGCTTGGTGGGCTCAACAGTTCAGGGAGGTGTTTCACAAAACTTGTTATCAGTGACTAATGACAGTTTTTGTAATAAGTTACCAAAATCCTTGCTTCTGATTGGTTATCAGCAGATTTTTCACTGACTTTTGTCATTTATCATTGAAAACTAGATGGAATTCGACTGCGCGCAGTCGAAAATGATGCCTCCGTCATAGAGCAATTTTACAAACCAAAACAGAAGAAATTTTTCAAATTCAAGTTCAATTGTAATCCATTAACAGGTTCTCAGAATATCGTGATTAGGCCTACAAGCAATTTCTCATATACATATATGACCCTTTGATCTTTGACCTCATGACCCTAAAATCTACTCAGTTCATTGGCTCTGCAAGATGTCCTGTGTTAAATAGTAATCCATCTGTCCGTTCTAATGAGAATGAGTTCACAAGCTATTTTAGCATACATAATGACCCATGACCTTTGACCTTATGAACCAAGAATCTACTCAGTTCATTGGCTCTGCAAGATACATAAATGATCCAAGTTTGGCAGGAATCCATCAATCTGTTCCAATGAGAATACGATCACAAGCAATTTTTGCATACATAATGAGCCGCATGACCTTTGACCTTGACCTCATGATCCCAAAATCAAATCAGTTCATCAGCTCTGCAAGTAACATACATGACCTAAGTTTGGCAGGAATCCATCAATCTGTTCTTGAGATAACGCGATCACGAGCTGTTTTTGCATACATAATGTGCGCTGTGACCTTTGACCTCGTGACCCCAAAATCTAATCAGTTCATCAGCTCTGCAAGTAACATACATGACCTAAGTTTGGCAGGAATCCATCAATCGGTTCTTGAGATAACGCGATCACGAGCTGTTTTTGCATACATAATGTGCGCTGTGACCTTTGACCTCGTGACCCCAAAATCTAATCAGTTCATCGGCTCTGCAAGTAACATACATGACCTAAGTTTGGCAGGAATCCATCAATCGGTTCTTGAGATAACGCGATCACGAGCTGTTTTTGCATACATAATGAGCCCTGTGACCTTTGACCTCGTGACCCCAAAATCTAATCAGTTCATTGGCTCTGCAAGATACATACATGACCAAAGTTTGGCAGGAATCCATAAATCGGTTCTTGAGATAACGCGATCACAAGCTGTTTTTGCATACATAATGAGCCCTGTGACCTTTGACCTTTGACCTCGTGACCCCAAAATCTAATCAGTTCATCGGCTCTGCAAGATACATACATGACCTAAGTTTGGTAGGAATCCATCAATCGGTTCTTCAGATAACGCGATCACGAGAACGGGACGTACGTACATACGTACAGACGGACGGACGGACAACCCGAAAACATAATGCCTCCGGCTACTTCGTAACGGAGGCATAAAAAGGCTTTGTGAAACACCCCCCTGGTGTAAAATTAACAGTATACTTACGGCTTTCTTGATGAGCCCTTTCATGGTACCGCCAAGAGCAGCACCCATCCCAAATCTACCATTGTTCAGGATCATCATGGCTACCTTGAATCCTTCTCCAACCTCTGCAAGGAAGAAATAAGTAAATCACAGGATCAAGAAACAGTCAAACCTACTTTAGTGACCATCTGTCTACAAAGACCACAATTTTGTGTTTCCCTTGAAAATGGCTTCTCATTGAAACATGTACTAAAGGAACCTGTCTACAAAGACTACTTTTTGTGTTTCCCTTGGGCGGTCGCTATAGACAGGTTTGACTGTACATGTAATGCTCCCTATCACTTTCAAAGGACAAAGTCCAATCAGTTTTTACATCTAGTAAAATTGGGAACCTACCTGAAGCTATTTTGACCCTCCAATGACACTTTACGGTGCATGCATATATCCTTCTTGACTTAACATTATATTGTTAATAGATATTAATCTATTTGTTAGCTTACCCCTAACTTTTATTCATATGGGGTCTGGATTTAAATGTGTGGGGTCTGTAAAACTCTATACATGTATACACGAAACACATTTTAAAATTTAAAAATCAGGAAGTCCAAAGACTCCAGACTTAATTTTGAGTACACCATTGTCCAAGGGGGCTGATTATGTCAAGCACTGCTTGTACATTTATTTTTGGGGGGCCATTACAAGAATTCCAGACTGCTTTTGAAATCAAATCTGAGAAACCAGACTCACCACCGAGGAGATTTTCTCTGGGGATCTTGACGTCTTCAAAGTAGACCTCGGCTGTGTTGGAGGCCTTGATACCCATCTTCTTTTCGGGTGGACCACTGTAATAATAAGGGGCGACAAATTATTGAAATCAATGTATTGAATGACCTGGGGTGGTTACAGCAGTTTATCAGTACAGGTAGGCACCTATCGTGATTTTTTTTTATTTTTTAGTCAATGATTATAAACATTACCGGTAATTGTTTTTTTCCTAATTTCATTTTTTATACATGAACATCAGTTGGGTTTTTGTTTCATTTAAATTATTAATGCGGTCAATGCATCTTTCTTGTTATGATTTCAGATATACACTGATGCTAGAATTTGCATTTATGATGTAATAAATGGTCTATTTTTACTCTGTTTACATTTTCTCAGTTCTGCAACACTTCCCATGATAATTAAATGAACTCAGCGAATTGCAATCGCATTGTACCATATTGGGTTAAAAGTAAAGAACAGTTGAACAATATTCAAATTCTGGCTATGTTTCATTCTAAAAGAAAGACTTTTCAGCATGTTGATCCTTGCATGCAGTTTAATAAATTCAAATTCAAATTCTGGGTAAAAAACACATTTACCTTCCTAAAAAGATAAAATCCAGAAAATATAAATGAGCTTATCTTGACAACCTGATTGTGCATTACATAAAACAAAATCTTTTTTATTTTCTTAGAGCCACTGACAATCTCATCCAAACACTTGCACCCAGAATGTTAAAGCCCCTCTGCACTAGTTTGGCATGGAGGGATTAGACGTCCCTGCATGGTCACTGGCAGGTGGTTATCTCATCAAATCAGCTCTCAATTAACATAAGAAAAAAGGCATCATGAGGGATCAACGGGAACCGCTTGGGCATTGTTGGCTGTATAGAGGGCGCAAGTAGCAATAAGTAGTGCAGAGGGGCTTTAAATTGACCTGAACGAGATCTAAACATGTGTCACTTACTTGCTGACTCCTCCAAATGACCTCTCAACGATGAACGCTGTGATCTTATCTTGTGTGTTGCCTTCTGAGTCAGTGACTGGAGTCTGTGCAAACACAGTGAACACCTCGGCCAGACCTCCATTGCTGATCCTGGAACAAATTAGGATAGAGAGGAACTCTGAGTCATTAATTGCGAGGCCCTTAGAGGGTGTACAGGAGGTTAAGAGTAGGTCATTGTGTCATCATATGATATAGTGTACATGAAAAAAATGAAAAAAATATTGCTGTGTGACATCAGCAGGGGAGGCGAACACTCTTATGGGGCATTGCAAGAAAGTTGCGATTGATTGCAAGTTGCAAAATTTGCAACTGATATTTGCAATTAATTGCAACTCAACTTTCTTGCAATGCCCTGCTAGTCTCCTAAATTTCCTAGGATATTGTTTGGATTGAAGTTTTAACAATTAAATTAAGTTAACCAGATCTAGCTTTTATTCTTACTCTCTCTCTCTCTCACTCTTACTAATGGGGCGTTGCAAGATATGTTTTGCTGATCCTAAGCTCTATATAGAGTGGGGCTCCTTACAGTGTAATAGGGCAAAGAAGAGCGATGTCAACAGAGGGCCTTGTGACTGTACAGGAATAATAATGGAAGTGTGATGGCTCAGTTGTAGATGAGTGGCTTTATACATGATTTAGGTGGCAATGGACGCAATCATCCAGACTTACCATATCTTGCTACCGTTTAGGAGGAAGTGCTTGCCGTCCTCACTGAGAACCGCCTTGGTGCGGATGGAGCTCGCATCGGAACCGCTGGCCGGTTCCGTCAGGCAGAAGGCGGCCATCTTCTCTCCGGACGCCAGCGAGGGCAGGTACTTCTCCTTCTGCTCGGGGGTGCCGTAGAGGATGATCCCCTTGAAGCCGATGGACTGGTGAGCGCCGAGGGTGATGCCAACGCCCAGATCGGATTCCCCGACGATTTCGACGAGGCGAGCGTACTGACATAAGAGAAGAAATCCATCTTGCATTATTCCATTAAATACGTATTAAAGTGGTGTAAGACATATTTCCTGTAGACTTATGCTAGATATAAAACACATGGCTTATCATTTGAATAGTAAAGCAGTGTGTGTGTGTTTTTTATTGATTTTTTTTACAGACGTGTATCAATCAAATATGATTATTTACGTCTGGGGACCGACTTTTAACCTCACCACCCGAAGACGTGACTCAGTTTCGAACCTGCGTCATCAGCTGAATCAGTTCGTAACTTCAATTATAAGCTGGATTACAGGCGCACGCCCTGTTGTGGCGTGCAGTAGATTTGGTAAATTTTGCTACTTTTAAGGTATGTTTCGTTTCTTGAGTGATGTCTTTCTTTGTTTATTAATAATTTCATGGGCCTCCCAAAATACATATTTGTCACTCCTAGTTCTAGACCTACCTGTGTGTTAGTCATTCCTAGGCCACCCAGGTCGGTGGGCACCTGAAGCCCAAAGGCCCCCATCTCCCTAAGGCCCTGCATCGTGGTGTCTTCAACCTTCTCCAATGTGTCGTTCTTCTGTGCATCGTTAACTTCCTGCAAGAGAGAGAGATGGGTGTAGAGAAGGTAAGGTACATGTTCAATGTCTTTAAAGGAACCAGTCATTAAATTAAAAATATTTAGGATTGTTAAGATATAGGATAATCCATCCTAATTAATGAGAGAATTTAAGAGATTTGAATTTTTAAAGAGAGAGGGAAAATTGAAAGGCAATTCCATTGGCCTACAAACAAGATACACTCTTACCTTATCTTACAACATTTTTGTTTTATATGGAGGGGTTGGGTGTTTCCCTTTAACAAAATTCAATATTCTCATCCAACTCAATTAATAAAGCCAATGTTTTACACAAGTTTGTGGTTTCAGGTATTTCATAGATATTGATTCATAATCATTAAGGTTTATTTTGAGAAAAAAAAACATGTACCTGTATTTGTTTGTGGACAATATCAGAAAATAATATGAAATATGATAACTCAAAGAAGCGAGTACTGTGTATCACATCATTAATCACATGTACATGTAACAAACACATTTACTTTAACATAAATGGCATCACATTCAATTCAATTCAATTCAATTTAATTTGATTTTATTTACATTGACAGTTACTTCCTACTCTGTTTAATCTTGTCTCTTTGATATCTTCAGTGTAATTTATTGCTAACTAATTCCTCCTTGAAAAGTTCATTATCATTTGAACCTTGGTAATGGTCAACTAATATATTGCATTGTTTGAACTATTTGTTTAACATATAATTGTCTCAGAAAGGCAAATTACTCAATCTTGAATCTAATTTTCAAGCAAATACAGTGCCTGGCAAGTGATAACCTGAACTTATCTTATCTTTTGTTTGGTATAGTTATCTTGTTTACACAATATTGCGTGCCGTACTACTAATAGATTGATTGCAATGCAAATATTTAAAAAAGGACCAAAAAGTATGGTAAAACTAGATGGAATTTTGACTGCGCGCAGTCGAAAATGCTGCCATAGAGCAATTTAAACAAGTTTGGAGTTTAAATCTCCAGTGGTTCTTGAGATATCATGATAACAATCTCAATGTATGGAATTTCATAAGTTGACCTCTGTGACCCTTGACCTTCGACCTACGTGCTCCAAAATCTAATCAGATTGTCTTCCCATGGTGATACACACTATCATTAAGTTTAAAGTTTAAATCTCCAGTGGTTCTTGAGATATTATGATAACAATCTCAATGTATGGAATTTCATAAGTTGACCTCTGTGACCCTTGACCTTTGACCTACGAGCTCCAAAATCTAATCAGATCGTCTTCCTATGGTGATACATACTATCCTTAAGTTTGAAGTTTTTACATCTCCAGTGGTTCTTGAGATATCATGATAACAATCTCAATGTATGGAATTTCATAAGTTGACCTCTATGACCCTTGACCTTTGACCTACGTGCTCCAAAATGTAATCAGATTGTTTTCCTATAGTGATACACACTATCACTAAGTTTGAAGTTTAAATCTCCAGTGGTTCTTGAGATATCATGATAACAATCTCAATGTATGGAATTTCATAAGTTGACCTCTGTGACCCTTGACCTTTGACATACATGCTCCAAAATCTACTCAGATCGTCTTCCTATGGTGATACATACTATCCTTAAGTTTGAAGTTTAAATCTCAAATGGTTCTTGAGATATCGCGATAACAAACTGAATACAAGGAATTTCATAAGTTGACCTCTGTGACCTGTGACCTTTGACCTACGTACTCCAAAATCTAATCAGATCGTCTTCCTATGGTGATAAATACTATTCCCGAGTCTTAAGTTTAAATCTTAAATGGTTCTTGAGATATTGTGATAACGGTCAAACGGGACGGACGTACGGACGTACGGACGGACAACCCGAAAACATGATGCCTCCGGCACCACCTTCGGTGGCGGAGGCATAAAAACACATTTGAAACCGTAACCTTAGAAAAAAGTTAGTGTGTAACCTTGAGTTAGGAGTAGGCTAACAAAAACTATTTTACATGTGTGATAAATGAAATAAAATTTACACTGGTCATACTGGACATACCAGGTCATTGAACATACAAATACTATTTTGAAAATACAACTATCAAAACATCTGAAAGTGACCCTGCAGTGGACACAAGTCACACAAAACCTATTGTAAACACATGACATGAACAATCGATATCAATGGTTAGTCATCACACACGACTCCTGAAATTTACCAGGCAATATATTTATATGCTTCATGAAAGTAATCTCTTGGAGTATGATTTGGTATCATACCAGTGTAACCAGTACTACTATCAATAGGATGTGAGGACACAACGGAAGTACCAGTATGTCGATATCTGAATGTTTTATAGTTAACATCCTAAGAGGGTACCAGTAAAATACAAGCTGCCCTGATAAATCCTCAAATGATTCATAAGAACTATTGTGAAGTGACAAATAGACACGAACAAGTATGGTATTGTTCATAGCTGATAGAGGACAGATACATATAGTTGTGACAAATGCATGCACGATCATTCATACACCGCACATCAAAGTCATGAAGCATCGAAAAGCTTGCATGTCAGAGAAAACTATTTGTAGATCCATGAATCAACAGTGGAACGCACATGTGTACATGTGTAACTACTACTACTCTACTAGCTATGGTTTTGAGAGCAAATCTTCATTATTTATATGACGTATGATTTCACTTTAATCAATACCCCCAAACTGACACAGACACTCATTGATTCATGTAGCAGATGTTATAGAAGAACACATCAGGTCCCAGTCTTCGAAAGACTTGCGATTGATCTGAATCAATCGCAAGTTTGCAGTCTCATGACTATCTCTTATGTAGTTGTAATGAAGTTGCGATTAATATCAAATGTTTAAGACGGGGCCCAGACCTGCCTCATTCATGAAGCACTTAATGAAGCATTGAAAAGCTCGCTCCTTAAAGATTATGAATGGGAAAGAAACATTTGAAGCTCCATGAATTTACCCTTGGGTGCATGTCGCAACTATCTTTCCTCTACTAGCTACGGTTTCATCATCAGATTCTCATCACCCGACTTTCCATTACTTGTACACTGTCTCTTTCATAAAGTTACAATTTCACTAATCAATTTCCAAAATTGACAGAGACACCCAAGTGGTCAAGTAGCAAACAAAATGGAGGTACTGATCACACCTACCTCAAAAAACTTCTGTGTGGGGTCCACTAACATTTCCAGCGTGGCTTTCTGTTCTTCATTCATTACTGTATAGAAAGGATAATCAGGAGAAAAATCAGTAAGGAATTAGAAGGTTAATTTGGAAGAAGGATCTATGCTTATATTTTAGAATGGGGGATTTATTTACGAGTATGTATTGCAAAATTTTCATTGTAGACTTAATATTCAGAAATGTCATGTAAGTGAGAAATCTAAAATCACATTGATGTACTTAAGTCCTTCTGAACACTCCTCTAAAATTATAATGATATGTCCATTTATTCATGTCCTATCGGATACCCATTAGATATAATAATTTACCAAATATATCAATTAGTAGGCGGTTTCCCAGCAAAATTTGTATCATCACGTATTAGTCAAAACATATTCTTTCACATGATTGGTAATAAGAGCTTCCATTTCATTTTTTGAGAGGAGGGGGGGGGGGGGGCTTCCTAAACTGGTCTATATCTTTAAATGATGTACAGTATGTAATTTATATCAAGGTTATCATACTATACATTATGTAAAATAGGTAACATTAATGAAAATACTGAACAAATGAAGAAGAAAAAACCCCACCAAATATCATCATATTGAATATAACATGACTTACCTTCAGGGTATGGGAAAACTTCTCCAGAATTGACCTGACCTTTGAAGAGGCCCATTACAAAAGATTTGGTTTCCTGTTACAAAAATAGGCAAACAAAATCATTGTATCAAAATCATTTAAACATCTTTCATACTAACTTGCACAATCTAATAATATTTCATCCACTTTTATTCCACTGAAACATTATATGGTCGAGAGCACTTGTAATCAAAATAAAAGTTTGTCAAACTTTTAAGGTCTGTTTACACAATAATGGTAGCTTAGGATGACATTTATCATCAGGGGATGTTTAAAAAGATATCATAAGTAAACCCAAACTTCCAAAGTTCAAATATGACACAAAGAGACAAGAAGAGATTCCCAATTCCCACTATTCCCTAAGTACCTACTTGTCTGATTTATTTATTCAAATTTAAGCAATTTTAATTACAAACCAATTAGATTAAGCTTAGATTAAAGAAGAAAGGAACTTTCTCTTCTTTTGCAGATGACCTGTCGTATCTTTGCAATAAGCAACAAGTGCTTATTTCACATTCAAAATCATTTGTCCTCAACCAGACCTTGTGGTTTACCTTTTAATGTGTAGAGGATTTTTTGCTTCTACACATGTCCCAAAACGTCTCTTTATCAATGCTGACTTTGTCAAGACCCCACAAAAAACAAACAACAACCAATCAGGCTTATAGCTGGGATTTCCAAATTGGGTGTCCACTTTGAAAAAAATTGATGGGAATATCCATTGAAAGATATGGTATCATAGGGCATCTTCTATTAGAAGTAGGTAGCCTTTGGATGTCCAGACACCCTTTTCAGGGGCTGTTCTGGGGGAGAGTTGGAATTAACTCAAGCCCTCTGTCTCCACCCCCATTTTTTGTTGATGTAAGGTACAAGTTTAAAATGTATACAAAACAACAATACAATACTGAACCAACCTCTGATTTGGGAGCAGATGTGGTCTGAGCTGTTTCTTGGGGTTGGGCAGCTGAGGCCTTCTGTCGCTGAATCTGGTTCCATGCTACAGCTCCTGGGCTAAAAATGGGTAATGAAAGGAAAAGGGCATAAACTCGAGTATTATTACATGTAGTATTTTTCCTTTAACATCTGAATCACTGTTTTAAAGGCGTGTATTCTACTGACACTAGTCACTACTTCTATTGTCAACAGCCATGTTCCGCAATGCATCATTAACTGCACGAGGCATAAACACGTACATGTAGGAACAATTTTTTTTGTGTGTAGTGTACATGTATATAGACTAGATCTACCACATGTGTTTGTGCTTCCCGCAGAACCAACGCAAACTCTTGTGACAGATGATGTAGCTCTCATGAGAGGTCAGCTCAGCATTTTTGTGATGTAAATACTAAATAACGGTAGCATGTTGTTACTTGCTAGCTCATTTAATTCAGGAACATGTGGAAGATAAGCAAATCGCTATCACTCCACTATCACAGATTAGAAATCTAGGCAGTAGGCCCTATCAGGTAGGACTAGGAGTAGGAGTCTAGATCTAGTTTGCCATTGCATTATTGTTGGGTGCAGGTATTTATTTGCAACACATTTTCAGTTTTGTTATCACAGCCGCAAGGGTATGATAAATATCATATTTGATACATATTCCCCAAGTCCTTCCCAACAATTCATGAATACACCGGGTCATTCCACATGCACAGACAGACAGACCTCACGTCACACTGTCGCAGCTCAGCTAGCCATCGAACGTCATACAGACTTTCGCCGGTACGTACCGGTGTAACCTTCACAAGATCATGACTTTCACAGTGAACAACAGTCAACAGACACTCATCGGTCTATACTCGAAAAATACTACTTACCGAACTGCTGCAGATTTTTGGACGATGGTATTCTGTAGCCTATTCACAAATCGCACTGACTTCATCATTATTTTCTGATTTCTTACACCTTATCTTCGAAATTAGGAAAAATTGTAAAATTAAAACTTTCTCTCACTCCAAAACGACGATCTTGTTTATGTAACGCACGCGTTTGATTGTGCGCAAGTCAGGCATTTTATTTTATGTGTACATTTCTCATAGAGATCGCGTGTGCGAGAGATCGCACACGCGTGTGACGTAATAATAGTCTAGTGAGCTCAGGGTCGACCGATTACGGAAGTTATGAATGACGCAGAAAGGGGCACGGCTGAAAGTCGGGTCAAAGTCATGAAATGCATACACACTTAAAAGCAAGCATTGAAAAAGGCTTATCAATTATTTGTTTAAGTCGATGAGTAAGATTTTACTGAAATAATTATACGCAAATTAAAAAAAAGAAAAACATAACAAGTACAAGCACAACAGTATAAGCAGGCCTACACATGCAGAGAAAGGGGGTGTGTCAGGTGTGTGTTCATTTCAGGTCTCATTTGCATAGCCAGTCTAGTAGACCCTATATTGTGCGGTATTTGCTGGCCGGGGTACTAGTATTTTATTTTCTGTAGAGATGATAGTCCGATGATCCCGGGAGTATAGTTGTTCTATTGACAAAACAGAACTAGTATAGATCCCCATCAACAACAAAAATTTCTTCATCGGGCAAACTATTCAAAATATAGGACGCTCGATGTCAAATTTGATCAAGTAGTGAATCTGTTTTAAGTCACGGAATTCAATAGTTCAGATCATCCAAACAGTTATTGGTGACTCATCATGGAGGGGCGGATCCAGCCGACGGCAGGGGAGGGGGCCCAAATCGTGAAAAAAATATTGAGCGGCGAAACACGGGGGGGGGGGGGGGGCCTCGAAAATTTGAAAAATCGCACACCCCCCCCCCTTGAGCCAGGGGAGGGGCCTATCTCAAAAAAAGTAAAATTAACGTGTTTTTACACGTTTTTTTCCCCCAGGGGTGGAGGCCCCCCTGGATCCGCCACTGTGACTCATTATGACTTAATAAACAATTCGCAACAACTTTGTCGTGTCTCGTAAAAAATGTGTCATCCTCAACATGCTTACATGTTTAGGATGGGAAAGGCATACTTTCCCAAATCAGTGATTTTGAAAGAATTATTTGCCTTCTTTTTTTACGTTTAATAAATTCATATTGAATTTTATGCAAGACAATCAGAAATCAATCTCGCAATTTTAAAGGAAATAATACCTTAGGTAGATTGCTTGGCTATCAGTCAATAATATTGGGCATTTCTTTTTCATAGTCTTATCAGACAGTGTTATTTTCAAGTCGGCTTTTAAAAAACTGGAGAAAAAACTCATAAAGTTTTGCCGAAAGGGATCGGGGCCCACGGGGGCCCATGGTCTTTGAGCCCACTGGATCCACCAAAAAGTAAAACGATTGTTTTTCAATGTCGACTAATGTCTTCAGAGTATCTTACAAAGTTATTTCATGAGTGTTTCCAAGAACAAATATGCCGATGAAGACCATCAGCATGAGAGGGGGGGGGTGGGTCCCAGATATATTACCTCCCTTCATACGGGGGAGGGGGATTCCGCCGCACCTATTGCGTCGTTTAACACATCAAACGGTTTACCAAAATGTTTGCTGCATTACAAGATGACAAGTTTTTATTGTAAATTGAAAATGATATCGTGTACTGGGAGCAAGGAATGAAATAATTCGCATCAAGGCGTTTTACAAAGACATATTCATAATTTGGGTTACATTACGAAAATGGCCCACTGCAAGAGAAATAATGGACGTGCGAAAACGCGGATTATCATTTATGTATAGTAATTTGTTGATATTGTTTTTGCCGTTGTTGGTGTTTTAGGTGGTGATTCCCCCTATTTTCGTTTAAATGTTTATCATGGGGCAGAGCCATGGTTTATCATGGGGCAGAGCCAAAGCCCAGCTTTTCAGCAGTCCCCTCCATGACCAACCTGTTTTATATGCCTATTGTACACTGTGGACCAATTACAAATATATTGTTAAGGTTTATTGTTTTACTATGTACAATGCAATCCCATGTACTTTATTTATTTTGTTGGAAATGGAAATAAACGAAATGAAATGAAATGAACATTTACAGCAAAATTAAGCCTGAAGCTAGTAATCTTAGTAGGCGTTTCCCTTTTTCTTCATATTTCCCTTTTATTTGATCTACAAAAATGCAGCTCGAATCCTGACGTTCTTCTTTCAAGAATAATCTAAAAGGTGGCAATGATTTTTACACTATGATTTATAGGTGATAGAGTTCATAGATAATGACAAATTTGGTTCTGCTCAGACTATAAAAAATAAGAGCAACACTAGTGATCGGGACAATTGGGGGTAAGCGGACACTTTTTTTTTTTTTTTGGTCTCGAAATTTGAAAATTTGACATTTTTTTTCGTTGGGGAGGGGGGGGGGGTAAGGTCACTTTGCGTTAGCCGTGGGCATAATTTTTTTTTTTTTTTTTTTTTTTTTTTTATTAAAAAAAAATTTAAAAAAAAAAAAAAAAAAAAAATCACTTTTAAACGCAAAAACATTGATAAATACATACATGTTTATACAAAAAAGAAACATTCAATGTTGCATAAAGTCACAATACAATTATATTTGATTGGGGAATGCAATAGCCTTGTCACTATTCAGAAGAAAGCTTTTAAGTCTCCTTTTGAAAATTTGTATCGAATTACAAACAAATGTCTTTTGTGCAAAAGATGTTCTATTTAAAGGTATTACAAAGTTTTGGGAAATTTTGAAAAATGGGTGGATAGTGATTCTTTACAATTTTGATATATTTGGATGCCCCTGTGGATGTATTAAACGCACTAGAAATTTTAGCCCCTAAAACACTTCTGCTTTCGAGAAAATTTGAATATAAAGATTTACCGGTGCTCCCGGTAAATTTTGATGAATTTCAAATAGCTCCTACGGCCGAACAATGGTAGCTGCGACCATGAAAATCTCAGATTATGTAGTTGTGGTATATAATTTCCGAACGGGAATAGCTAATCGGTCGATTTTAGTCAAGAAACATTGTTTTATAGCTTTATTAATATCTTGACCTTGAGAGGGAGCTATACAACATAAAATGTTTATTATTTACAATTTCATAACTTTAAAGTCGATTTCGACCGCGACAACGATCAGTGAATATAGTAGGATCGCAAATGCTTCCAATATGTTCATTTGAACCAAATTCACGACCCCATACCAAAACTTTGTATTACCTTTAATGGTAGATGAAAAGAGCTCGCCTGGCGAGTGAGTCCCGGAATGATGTAACTATGAGTCGAATCATTTAGTGTTGAGCTTGTACATTAACTGTCCAAGCTGAAAAATATACAAGTCTTTAATTTTCAAAATGTTATTATTCAGAAAAAGATTATTCGTGTCGTCCCGAGCGGGACCTTCGTCCATGGTCGCCGTTGCGCTACAAAGGTTTTCATTCTGGTTAGAAAAATGAAAAAAGAGGAGACTTTTTGAAATATCATGTGAAACCAGTTTGCCGACTTTTTTATATTCACGTGCGGAGGGTTGGGGGGGGGGGGACATTCAAAACTACTCAACATTATTACTATATTTTTTGTAATCTATTAATTTCCCAATCCTGCTCTCTTTTCTAACACATCTCGCACCCTATATCTTATCTCTCCGCACCCCCCCCCCCCCCCTCTACTCCCCGTTATTATCTTTATATTCTTTTATACCGATTTTTCCCCTTTCTTGAATTCTTCCTCCCCTAACCTGACATCTCTCTCTCTCTCTTTCTCCTTCTCAAGTCCTCTCACTTACCCTCTCTCACCCATTTCTCTCTTTCTCTCTGCCTGTCTATTTCCCTGTATCTCTCTCCATTCTTTATAATTCCCTCTCTTCTCTCTTGCCCCTACCTCTCTAAATATTTCCGTCCTCACCAATATAGAGGTTTCCAAAAAAAATGTCCTTTTGAGGGCAACAGGTTGGTCATATTCCTTACTTTTCAGGTAAACAGATTGCACAGCATCATCCAATAATGTTCTCCTTTGTAAGCACATGATATGATAGCATTTTTCATAAATACTTTTAAATTTTAAGTTATTTATTCTTTTAACCATACGATTGTATAAAGACAAAGTAATATAGACAATACTTGCCAAAAAAGAATTACATGAAAATTTATCGTGGGTGCACTTCTTTGGTTTTCTTTTGGTAATTATATCAGCTACACCTCTTATTTTGAATATTTAAGCACCTTTCTACGACTGCAAAGATTTACAAATACAGATATGCATGAAAATGAAAGACTAAATATGGACAATATAAAGTCTTCTGTGAAGAGAAGAAGGGCGTCGATTCATATCAGACAATTTTCATGAAATCACAAAAATCTAAACTTTCTGTAGGCATTGAAATGCAATAAAAATATAAATGAATAATGAAACTATTTCAAATCTAAATAGATACACGGATTTGCAGACTGCACTAGCCACCTGCAAAAGCGAAACATAATTTTTCATATTTTCTTTCTCATCAGCTCTTAGAGATAAACTCGAGTTCTGGTAAATATTGCAAATAAATTCTCACAGAATCTAACGAAATTTACATTACAAATAAATCATGTTTCATAATAATTTTGGTAGAAAATGTATAGTGGCTGAGTAATGAGCATAAAAAGATAAGGAAATCCCAGTTAGTAGGCCTGGCACCATATGCTTAACACAGGTCACTATGTGCATAATGTGAACAAGTTGTTACAAATTTTCATGACAATGTTGACTGGTCAATATTGCCGTTAGAAATAAAGTTGGGAGCGGGGATCCCACTACCCAACTCCTAACTTTAATTCAAATAGTCTCTACATAAAATAATACAGACATGATCTGATACTAGATAGCTACAGGTAGTGTGTGAATTATTTATTTTTAGTAACATATACACAAAAAATGCAGACAATATAACCATTTGTTGAAATAGGCACAGAAACTATTCCAAGCAAAACTGAATGTGGCTTTAAGGACACTTCACATAAAGGTCCCATATTTCTGCTGAAGGAAGAACATTCTAGTCACTAATATCTGTTGTGCCCTTGAAAATGTACCCCCCCCCCTCATTTTTTGTTGATTGAACACCCCTCACAAAACATAGAACAACCCAACCCAGAATGGGAGATAAGGAATTGGTAGCTGCTGGGCTGGTATCACATTGTTTTAGCTGATGCTACATCCAACAGTATAATTGACTTCACTCTCGTTTTGTCCATTTTTAGAATAACTCCTGGAACCCCGTAACATATCACCTAAAGAATATGTAAATGACATAACAAAACGTAATCATACATTTCATTTGATACAGCATGACTGTATAAAGCTGCAAAAGTATTAAACAATTAGTACTGAAAGTAATACATCAATATAGTAAATTAATAACGGTGGATTGCCATGAGCACTATACAAAAACCCACTATTATTACTATGATTAAGTCATCAAAATAACATCTATCAAACACATACCCATACGAACATGAAGGTACATTGCGACGTATAGTAAAGCAATGTAAATATTAAACTATTCAAACCTTTTCTCTCTTTCTCTTTTATCTGTGTTAATTACCGGTACACTTTTTTTATGTCCTAATTCAGATTAGGGAAATGGATGTGAAAGAATTGTCTTCTTCTTTTTCAAAGAATTTGTTTTCTCTCACTGTGTGGCAAACTCATACAGAAAGATTGGTATGAACATGCTTCAAAGGATTGTGGTATCTTTGTCTCAGATTCTAAACAAAATCCTGGATTTAGGCTCATCCTGCAATCGTTATAGGAATCCCATGACTTTTACAAGCCGATAGCCTAACTGATTATCAAGATATTTATGATTGGAATTCAAAATTTCAAAAACCGTTGGGGAAAATGAGTATGGTAAAACCGGTCACTCAAAGATTTTTACTATTATGAGGCACTTCATGATCATTTAGAAGCGCAATTTTTTTAGGGCTTCAATATTACACCACATACACTCAGATTTCAGATTTGTAAAACTGGAATATTGTTAAACAATGCCTTTAATCATCTACATTATATTCAAATATATATTTCCCTCTGCATTTTAATTTTACACATCTAGGTTTGCTTTGGTCCTCTTCAGATTCTGGAAGTCATCGTAGTTGAAGTAGCAGCCGCACATGACACGCTTTCCTGTGAATCCTGCACGGCCGTGGAGCAGACGCCAGTTATCGAAGACCACCATCCGTCCCGGCTGCAGCTTGGTCAGAAACTTGCTCTCCGGGGATTCGATGATGCGTCCGAAGGTGCGGTAGGCGGCGTAGAACCTCTCCGCGTCTTCATACGACGTGTACGAGAGAGTACTACGATCGTGGGGGTTGAATCTAGAAAGGATGGAAAAGATGCAATATTGAAAACACAACTATGAAAGGCGAAGTTGAAGGGAAGGCATAGAATCTCTCCACTTCTTCGTACGACGTGTACGAGAGAGTGCTACGATCATGGGGGTTAAATCTAGAAAGGATGGAAAAGATGCAATATCGTAAATGAAACTATCAAAGGCAAAGTTTAAAGCTCCACTGCACTATTTTGGCTAGGAGGGATTAGACCTCCCTGCAAGGTCACTGGCAGGAGGTTATCTCATCAAATTAGCTCTCAATAAGCATCATGGGGGATCAACGGTACCTCTTAGGCATCGTTGGTTGTATAGAGGGCCCAAGTAGCTATAAGTAGTGGAGTGGGGCTTTAAGGGAAGTGTTGAGTTGGTAGGCATCCTTCGGGATGGATAGACAGCATCAGGAATGGGGAAGGTGGAATAAGAGTGAATGCAAGAGAGAGAAGCCGATAAGCCTGAAGGGGCTACTGCATAACATAGTACAGTCAAACCTGCTTTAGTGACCACCTGTCTAGAAAGACCACATCTTTGTTTCCCTTGAAAATGGTTTCCCATTGAAACATGTATGAAAGGAACCTGTCTACAAGGTCTTTTTTCTTGTCTCCCTTGGGCGGTCTTTATAGACAGGTTTCACTGTAGTTGTAGTAGCACTAGTAAATGCAGGTAGATTTAAAACCATGTGAAGAAAATATGAATACTGCATGTAATGCACTCACAAAATTTTGAAACAAAATCATTACTTGCAAACAACCTTAAAAGCACATCTTGAGGACGAACCAGCATCTTCGTACCTGATTTGTTGCAATTGACCTGTCAACACGTTGTGGCGCAGCACGTTGTGGTAGCAACGAAAGTCTTTTGTTGGATCCAGATAGTGACCCACCACAGGTGCATGCAGTAAAGTGTCGTAATGATCCGGATGGGTCTCCTGCCAAGGTTTCAAGAAAATTCAAAAAAATTATACTTTTAAGACACATAGTACATTGTCAGGGGCTCTCATGGGAATTCGACACCAGTTGGGTTTTTAGTCAACAGACGTTGTCAATCGCCAGGACTAGCCTTCAGTTTTAAGACCAACAGGTCTTATATGCTCTGCATTTTTCACAAGTTACCTTACATTTCCCTCACCCTAAACACTCTCCGAGAGACTAGAGGGTTATTTCCCGATGAGACTATGGGTTCGCTGTGTGCGAGACTTGTACATCCAAGTACAAGTCCACTCCAAAAATTAGTTACTTTCTATAGAAGCATAAAAATCAGACAAACCAATCAAAAAATGTTTGAGCAAAATCAGATAACTAATAAGAAAGTTATGAATTTTTGAAAAAGTGTGTAAAACTATGGAACATTGGAAATCACTACACAAATTGCCAATTTGGTTATCAGTTTGTGACGTCATGTCCTCACTATTTATCAATGGCTTTATATACCAGTATTTTAATCCCATTGATTTTCCTTTTTACCCCTAAAGCATTTGTTTTAATAATTGCATATGCCTTTATGGTGACCATATGGTAGGGATACTCCCCAGGGAGTGGAGATGGTGCACATTGTGCGTGAATGAATCCGATGACCGAGATAATAATATCTGCAACGCGCTTAGAGATGGTATTCCGTACTAAGTGCTACATAAATCCAGATTATTATATTATTATTATTTCTAAAAAGTCAGTGGTCAACTATGAAAGTCTTTAAAATTTCTGGATGAAATACATTGATAAAAGACTTAGGTAATCTTACGGAATATATTTTGCATGATCAGCCTACATTGTGACCTTTCCAGCTCGGAACTGAAGTATTACCTTTAGAAGTTTCGCAGCATGGAACCCATCGATGAGCGTGTTCTCACCTCCTGTGCCATCATGGTAGAGACAATGAAGAGCAAGACCTCTGAAATGAACAGTTCGACAAAGATCTCAAAATTAATTTTGGAACAATATTCCTTACGATTTGCGGGCAATTGGGCCCTATCCCCGACAGGAAAAACACTGTAACCTCAATATCAACTATCCTTATGAAAAATCATGACCTAAATTAGACAGAAAATTGCAATTTCAAAATTATGTTGCTAATTCTATTTTGATTTATCCCAAGATCCAACCATAGTCGTGACTTCGATGAGAGGGAAGGAATTAGACAAATCTTAGGCATGATGTAAGAGAAGTATGCTACGCACTTTCAAATGCAGGTTACATGTACACTCTACTTTGCCCAAAATTGTGTGTGTCTGCCTTTTAAGAGACATGGACATTCCAAATGGAATAACATAAAAAATTATGATTAAATATATCTCCCAAAAATTCATTATACCTCCTTCAATCAATCATAACTTACAATAACCTGGTAACTTAGGTTTGCTTTTATGTTAAAGCCCCACTGCACTACGTATAGCTACTTGCGCCCTCTATATAGCAAACAATGCCTAATCGGTGACCATTGGTCCCCCATGATCCCCTTTTTCTTATGTTAATTGAGAGCTGATTTGATGAGAACAACCTGTCAGTGACCAGGGAGATCCAATCCCTCCTGGCCAAACAAGTGCAGTGGGGCATTAAAGATTGAAACGAAGCATCTTTATTAATTTTTATTCATTTATTCTCCACTCCTGGGATGGATTGCCCTTGTCAGCTATAAGCTGTTTTTCAAAGGGGTCCAGCATGGTAAAATATAATAGACTGCTGCAAGATTGGAGATACAATATATTTTACGTCTGATTGTAAGATGATTTTCATGATACAGGCCTAGGGGTAATAATAGCATTGAAAAGCACACTGAAGTATCAAAGTAATGCATAATATAGATGATCAAATATTATAATCACTATGGATAAGCACACAACACATGAATTGGAACAAGGATTACATGAAAGAAGCATATATGATAAAAGATTTAAAGCCTGTGTAAGGTGTTGAGAGCCAAAAAACTTTGATGGCAAAAATATACTTCAATAATGAAGATATGATTGATAATGTGATTGCACAAAATGGCGCCTAGATGACGTCATGATGACTTGATTACCTTGAAAATGTTTCTGTCACGTCTTATGACGATGACCTATGCCTGTGCCAAAATTAAAAGAAATTGACCAAACCAATCTTGCGTTATCCGACACACAAAAAAGTGAAGAAATAAATAAAAATAAAGAATAAATAAAGAAGAAAGAAAATTCTGACGAAATCAATAGATGGTCTGTTGACAACAGACCACCTAAAAAGGAATTCTTTCAGAGTTGAGTATTACCGGAAAATGTCATCCTCTTCACACAATTAAACAATTTAAGTGAAATTTGCTGCCATCCAATTTTTAAGCGAATTTGGGGCTCCCAACACTTTAAAGGGGCTTAAGGTCAATATAAGATTTCTTGCAGATGCACCATGTGAGAGAGAGGGAGGATTGAGGAGTCCTGAAAAGGACTATCGGTAATCTTTCTTGAGGGTGTGTAGTCCTGAAAAGGACTGTTAGTGTAGTCTTGTAAAAGACTGTTGGTTATCTTTCTTAGCTTATAGTTCTAAGAGAACTATAGCGCCGATTGGAGAGGATGGGTGGCGTGAGGGGCTCGACGTTTCAAATAGGTTGACTATCCGTCGTCAGGAGTGGAGAATAGCTGGCGTGAGTGAGCTTAAGTCACCGGGGTGCGGACGTGGGGGTACTATACATGACCGTGTGGGCTTGAGTCACCGGGGTGTGGACTTGGTTGGTCTGCTTGTCAATCTGGGCTAGAGTGGTTTGAGGACTTGGGGGAGCTTCAAATCCATGAGTGGGGTGTTCTGTGGGCGAGACGCTGTGTGTGTCCCCGACGTAGGCGGTGTTGTAGTCTGCTATCATCTGGTGTGCATTGTAGCTGCGAGGCTAGCAGCTAGCTTTGTGGGTTCGGCGGGTGGCGGTGGTTGATGTACGGGTGTCTGCAGGGGAGGTGAAGGCGGCGGTGGTGGAGGAGGAGTGACCGGGTACTTGTTCATGAGGGGTTCCAGATGTCGTTGATGTATAATCCTGAGTCTTGGGGCATGGTGTTGTGGCGGTGAATTTCGATGGCTTCTCGGATTCGGCGTGTATGCCAGTGCTTCATTATGGAGATGAGATGATTGTTATCCCATTCGATGGTGTGTTTCTGTTGTTGGGCGTGTTTGACGATGGCGGACTTATTCCAATCGCCGAGTCTGAAGCTGGTTCTGTGATCCTTGAGTCTTGTTTCCAGATTTCTCCCCGTTTCACCAATGTAGACTTTTCCACATTTGCATGGTATCTTGTAGAGTGTAGACTCCAGCTTTCTTATGGGTTTGGATGCTTGTCTTTGTGGGAGTGGAGTATCGAATGGAGTTTGTTGGAGGAACTGTGCCGAACTTGAATGTCTGCTGCTTACTGTATATCTACATCACCATGCAAGCCGATACTTACAAGCGGAATATAAGAATAGAAGACATGCTATGAAGTGGCCAGGAAGAGATTAATACATAAATATTCACTTGTATGATTATGAGCATAAACTACTACATTAGCTTGAAGATGTCGTTGTAACATTTCAGCAGATAAATTTTGATGTAAGAAGACATCTTTCATTCATCAAATGAAACAGCTTTTCCATCTCAAAATGAAAAATAATGAAATTTATGTTAAGTGAGAGCTGAGTTGACGAGATAACCACCGCTCGGTGACCATACAGGGAGGTCTAATCCCTCCTGGCCAAACTATTGCAGACAGGCTTTAAGGCTTTGAAAACCATGAAGGCAACTTGGTAGCATAAATGCTTGAATGGAGATGCACAGATCATATGTTCAAGCCCCGGCATGGGTTTAAAGTCCCTCTGTGGCAAGACATTCATCTACATCTGCCCATCTCCACCCAGGGGTAGTAAATGGGTACCTGGTAGGAAGGTAATTCTTGAATGCTGGGAGAACAGACATTGAAAGCTTAGCTGAAGCAGGGGTAATATTGGAGAACGATGTTGAATACTTTGCATGATGCTATGAGCGCTATTAAAACAAGAAATGACTGTTAATTTCTCCTCCTCCTTGCCGTTCTCGTTCTTCATTAAAAACAGAAGGCATTGTTTGGCTTTAAAAGCATTCAAATGCTATATTGAGTTTTCCTCTAGCACTATCTACATAGTATACTATATAGTATGGAGCTTAGCTGAAGCGAATGAAACATTACAGCACCTAAAGCTCCTTATATGATGCATATGAGAGCTACTAGAATATTTTTTTAGTTTATTATGGAATGGCAGCAACCACCTTTTGGCTTTGCTTTGAACACTTTATATGATGCATATATATGCTACCATCTTCTTAATACAGTCTATAGCGACCGCCCAAAGGAAACACAAAAAGTGGTCTTTGTAGACAGGTTCCTTTAGTACATGTTTCAATGAGAAATCGTTTTCAAGGGAAACAAAAAATGTGGCCTTTGTAGACAGGTGGTCTCTGTAGACAGGTGGTCTCTGTAGACAGGTGGTCTTTGTAGACAGGTGGTCTTTGTAGACAGGTGGTCCCTAAAGCAGGTTTGACTGTACATGTAAATGTTATAATATGGAAACAACCGCAGCAAGCATGTGATGGCTATAGCTTTCAAAGCGTACCGACACTGTTTTATTGGCTTACCCCATACTGGCTTCGTAGTAGGTAGTATCGGTGTGGTTCTGAAGGGCTACATTCAGAGACGCCGCATCATTGAGTGCCCCGTCGTTCTGATAGCAAAAAGTATCTCCAAACAAGGTCGGCATGGGCTTATAGATTAGGTTCAGAGCGGCCTGACATAGGGAGATGAATGGTCACCACTGAATAGTATACAAAACTGCATGCTCCGGGAGCCTATTCACGTACAAGCTATGCTTTTTATGTAGGCTCCCCACATTTTACATCGTTTTTTATCTTGCCTGATATTTCAAAATTTCATACTTATTTTCTGTACATTACACTTGATTTGAAATCTTTTATTTTTTATTTTTTCTTGTGTGAAATCCAGGGCCGTAGCCAGAGTTTGATGTTTGGGAGGGGGGGGGGCACATACATGTAATCGATCAACGTCCTGGGGAGGGGTCTTAAAAAGTTCAACCAATCTTGGAAATTTGGGGGGGGGGGCATGTGCCCCTCCCCCCCCCCCCCTCCACATCATCAAATAAAAACATTATGAAATTAACAATAACATTGTATCTTTGAACTTATAATTAGATTAGGGGCCTATCTGTTTTTGGAAAATTGCCCCTGGTTCTTAGGGAATTGCCCCTTGCTCTGCATGGTAAATTCCCTTGGGCAAGGGGCAACTTTAGAAACAAAATTGCCCCTTGCTCCTTGCTGCTTATTCTAAGGCTTGCGGGGGCCGCCGCCGTTGTTTGTATGTACCGTAGACCTCTATACATTCTGTGAAGAAGCTGGTGCTTTAAGTCATGGGAAATTGATCCCGCACAAGTTTCATTATAAAATACACATGACATCTAACAAAAATAGAATCAGTATTTTTGGCCTCGATGCCCTTTTTGTAAAAATATTTTGGCCTTAATGCCCTTAGTAGTGACCTTGGTGCCCTTAAAAATATGAGGTACTTTAAGGCCAAACTGGTCTTGCCCTAAAAATGACAAAATTTAAGGCCTGCATTAGCAACTAGAGATTTTGTAAAAATGGCCTATTACTCACTGGAAGATGTTGCATTATTGCTCTCATTTTGACATTGTTCTGAACAGTATGAAACATGCGCTATTTTTCTATGCAGAATCCTACTGTAGACATTGTAAGGATTACGCACGTATAACATTATCAAGGTAGACCCTAGAATGGATCATGTAGTGCGTTGAAAATGGACAAAAACAGACCTGCGGTTCAGTGAGTAAAAGGAGGGGCAGTTTCAGGTGGCTTAGTTGCTAAAGGGTTAATTAACTCTTAGGCTGCCACCCATACAATGCACCCAGTGCCACAGTGCTAATCCCTATTGTGCCAGCCACAAATCTCCTGTGTGCCAAGTTAATTTTAAGGTTGGTTCAAGCGTGTGTTATTTAAATCTTTACAAAAAACAAATCACTAAATTACTCGAGAAAATCCAATCTGACTGTTGTATACAAAGACGCGTAATCCAAAGCCGATAATCTGATGCATGCGATGGTACTTTCAATAGCACTGCAAAAGCACTCAGCACGGTGCAATGGGCATGAACAATGACTGTTATTACATATGCGCCCTTGCGTGCACAAAGCAGAGTAGTGGTGGCTCGCTAGCATGAACGTGGCATTCAATCGATAGCGCGCTCGCGTGCATAGAGCACTATAACAATAGCGCGCTAGCAGTCTCATGGCAGGATATGAGTTAATATTATTTCAGAAATGTATTGGTTGAGAATGACTTATAACCCGTCACTGATTTTCAACCTACAATTTCAAAATTTTGAACTAGCTGCTAATTTTCACACACGTAACTTTCAAAATTCAAAGCTATCGCCGTTACATATTGAACTCCTTGTGGATGACCATGGGTGAGGGATACACATTTGTAGGCAGGTAGGCTTCTTATCTACTGGTTCAAACATTACATGGCTTTTCTAAGAAAGAGGTAGACAGCATAGCACTGAAAATCGAAATAAACCTTGCACCACGAGATTAAGTACAAACAGTAGTACGGCATCAACTAGACACTGGAAAACAGTGGTGTACTGAAGAAACACACTCACACTTTGCGCTACAAGATAAAGTACAAATATCATACAAATAAGAAACAGACAGACCGGGTAGCACTGAAAATTGGGATAAACCTTGCACCACAAGACTAGGTAAAGACATTATATGGCATCAGAAAGACATGGGAAGACAGTGGTGTACTAAAAAACAAACACACTTTGCACTACAAGATAAAGTACAAAGACTTTACTGTATCATTCAAAAAAAGCTGGAAAGAGGGCTAGAAAGAGGGCTAGAAAGAGGGCCAGAAAGAGGGCCAGAAAGAGGGTTAGAAAGAGGGCCAGAAAGAGGGTTAGAAAGAGGGCCAGAAAGAGGGTTAGAAAGAGGGCCAGAAAGAGGGTTAGAAAGAGGGCTAGAAAGAGGGTTAGAAAGAGGGTTAGAAAGAGGGCCAGAAAGAGGGTTAGAAAGAGGGCCAGAAAGAGGGTTAGAAAGAGGGCCAGAAAGAGGGTTAGAAAGAGGGCCAGAAAGAGGGTTAGAAAGAGGGTTAGAAAGAGGGTTAGAAAGAGGGCCAGAAAGAGGGTTAGAAAGAGGGCCAGAAAGAGGGTTAGAAAGAGGGCTAGAAAGAGGGTTAGAAAGAGGGCCAGAAAGAGGGTTAGAAAGAGGGCCAGAAAGAGGGTTAGAAAGAGGGTTAGAAAGAGGGTTAGAAAGAGGGCTAGAAAGAGGGCCAGAAAGAGGGTTAGAAAGAGGGTTAGAAAGAGGGTTAGAAAGAGGGTTAGAAAGAGGGTTAGAAAGAGGGCCAGAAAGAGGGTTAGGAAGAGGGTTAGAAAGAGGGCTAGAAAGAGGGCCAGAAAGAGGGTTAGAAAGAGGGCCAGAAAGAGGGTTAGAAAGAGGGCCAGAAAGAGGGTTAGAAAGAGGGCCAGAGGGCCAGAAAGAGGGCTAGAAAGAGGGCTAGAAAGAGGGCTAGAAAGAGGGCTATAGAAAGAGTTTGGGGGTCACGAGATGAATCGTTGCAGGAATAACACCTTGCACCACAAGATAAAGGGGTGAGAGACAGACAGGGTATCTAAGGTTTGCTCTTACCCGGCACCATGTTCAAAGTATGTATGATCTGTATGGCCCTTGAGAGACACAGATGTGTAGCCTGCATCTGCTATTTCACCGTCATTCTGGTACTGCCAAACTCTACCGTAGTGTGTATACATGGGAGGAGCAACTAGGTGTAGGGCTTCCTACTGGGGGTATTGAGAGGAGCAGAAGAGGGCGTGGCAGGTTGGAGAGGGGTAGAAACAGGTGCATAAGGGTAATGGGCAGAGAGAGAGAGAGGTTAGAGAGGGGTAGAAACAGGTGCATAAGGGTAATGGGTACAGAGAGAGAGGTTAAAGAGGGGGTAGAAACAGGTGCATAAGGGTAATGGGCAGAGAGAGGTTAGAGAGGGGTTGAAACAGATGCATAAGGGTAATGGATACAGAGAGAGAGGTTAGAGAGGGGGTAGAAACAGGTGCATAAGGGTAATGGGTACAGAGAGAGAGGTTAGAGAGGGGTAGAAACAGGTGCATAAGGGTAATGGGCAAAGAGAGAGAGAGGTTAGAGAGGGGTTGAAATAGGTGCATAAGGGTAATGGGCACAGAGAGAGAGAGAGGGGTAGAAATAGGTGTATAAGGGTAGTAGACACAGAGAAAGAGGTTAGAGAGTCGTAGAAACAGGTGCATAAGGGTAATGGACAGAGAGAAAGAGGTTAGAGAGGGGTAGAAACAGGTGCATAAGGGTAATGGGCACACACAGAGAGGTTAGAGAGGGGTAGAAATAGGTGCATAAGGGTAATGGGCACAGAGAGAGAGAGGTTAGAGAGGGGTAGAAATAGGTGCATAAGGGTAATGGGCACAGAGAGAGAGAGGTTAGAGAGGGGTAGAAATAGGTGCATAAGGGTAATGGGCACAGAGAGAGAGGTTAGAGAGGGGTAGAAACAGGTGCATAAGGGTAATGGGCAGAGAGAGAGAGAGAGGGGTAGAAATAGGTATAAGGGTAATAGACACAGAGAAAGAGGTTAGAGAGTGGTAGAAACAGGTGCATAAAGGAAATGGACAGAGAGAAAGAGGTTAGAGAGGGGTAGAAACAGGTGCATAAGGGTAATGGGCACACAGAGAGAGGTTAGAGAGGGGTAGAAACAGGTGCATATAAAGGGTAATGGGCACAAAGAGGGGTAAACAGGGGTGGAAAGGGAAGATGGCAAAGGTGTATAGAAGAGTGCACAAAGGGGGGGGGGGAATAACCGATAGGAAGAGGTGTAACAGGGAGGAAAGAGAGGTTGAGGGGCGTAGAGGGGTAAAAAAAAAAAGGGTGCAAAGGGGAAAGGGGCAGAGAGGGGTCAAATGGGTGTAGAAGAAGGGCAGAAAGAGGGGGGAGGGGTAGGGGGGGGGTAGAGAGGGGTAGAAAGAGGTGCAAATGGAGAGGGGTAGAAAGATGCAGAAAGGGGGGTACATAGAGGTAGAAATGGGTGCAAAGGGAGAGGCGCCAAGAAGGGTGGGAAATGCCAAAAGAAGAGGGTAGAGAGGAATTTGGGAATGGGTAAAAACATGTTAGGATGGATTCACTGTTAAAAGAATGGTAGCAAGACTTGAAGACTGAATTTAGATTTATATTCTCTTGCCCAGTGGAGATTTTGGGGAGACAATAAAAGTAAGAGAATGTAACATAAATGTAGTGTATTAAATGAGAAAGTGGTCTTTTTTGCCAAAACAAATCTTAGCACATTATCCAAAAGCCCCCCCCCAAAAACCCTATTTGATCAGAAAATTTCCACAGCATCAATTTCTATATATTAATTCCATCTCACATATAATCTGAAAAAACTGCTGAAGAACAAAAAGCTTATAAGTTAAAGTTCTGAAAATGTGTAGATCCCCACATGAACTGACAACCCTTCAATTGATTCATCTGTGGGTGTCTCTAGATAACTTATGTATCTATTTAAAAATAAAAGGATTTTGGTGAATTTTCTAGAGTCTTAATGAAGGATCAATTATATATTAAAGGAAAGCTTATAAGCCATAGATTACAATAATATCAATTATATGCTGTTTTAGTATCTGTCAGAGGAGTATCAGCTCTCTTTGAAAATTCAAAATCTAAAGCTTTGAACATCAGAAGTTGTCGACCTTAAAACTCGCTATCGACTTGATGACATCAACTATATGTGGAGTACGCATATTCACAACGACTTTGCATGAATTAAGCACGGCTCATTGCCTCAGGTATGTACATGTAGGTGAACCGATGGGGTCCACATGTTATGTCGTCACTGTAACTGTGGGACATTTGACCCCTGTTGACCCGTAATTTGGAGGGGTGCAGAATATGGGGTTTTAATTTGCTTTGGGGCAAGAATGAAAGGGTAAATACTTTTTATTAGAATATATTTGTATTCTACATCATTCCGTTTTCCATTTATATCAAGTTGTATTTTTATTGGATAGGGCCTTTAAATATCAGTTAGTGACATTTTGTTAGGAAGTTAGGTATGCATATTACAAAAGCATGCCTCTCTTGTGGGATTGCAAAGAGGTAGCCTGAGTGGCATTCACTTGCAGTCTGCAAAAGCATCTGATATCTGAAAAACAGTTACTTGGCTGGTAGCAGAAGGAAGGTCTAGGCAAGCAAGTGGGGACTGGGGAACATAGTGAAAATAATCCTACACTACATCATGACTTCCGATGACCGGTGTCTCAAAGTCAAGCCCACACAACAACTTGCAGAAGAAAAAGACTGTACAGCCAAATAAACAGAATGCTAACGCTATCGACCTCAATTTCTCTCATTTTTGGCATTTGCACAGACTCGATTTGGGGGCTGGATTCCCTTTAAACAGCAGTTAATAACAATGGAGGATTAACAGGGATTAAAGGAGGAGACACAACCTTGCCCACTACCCCCTTTTTTAACCAACGTAGCATCCCTAGTACACACCCCCCAATTAGTGCCAACCCCTTCTTTAAAATATCTACCGAAATGGCCCCTGAAAATGTGATAATCTACTATTGTTTGTAAGAAAGTTTTCTGGAATTTGCCCCCCCCCCCCCCTTTCATTCTTCAAAAAATTCTGGATTCACCCCTGATTTTTATAATCATCTCAGTACCTCAGTACTTTGAAGAAAAAAAATGGCCCCTAAATCTGATAAACCACTATTGTTTGTAAGAAATTTTTCTGAAATTTTGCCCCCCCCCCCCTTCTCCTTTGTCAAAAAATCCTTGATCCACCCCTGGTTTTTATAATCACCTCGGTACTCTCCTGTGTGGCCTCCACCCCAGAGATGAACGTCAATCCGTACACATGCAAGTTTTCCATGACCTTCTTCAGTCCGTCCCCCTCCCGGACCTCATCGATGTGGACATCTTCAGGAAGGTTGCCGGCCAGGCTTGCCTTGTCCCAGTAGAATGGTTGCAGCTGCTGGCTGGACCCAGCCATTGACCTCTGACCCGGTGTGTTGTCCTGGAGCCATTGGATGGAATAGCTGGTCACATGATCATCGGGCCCTGCGGACGAGAATGTTTACTCATCCAAAAAAATGTTTCAAAATTTTGGTTAGCTCTATATCTCTCTTCTCCCTTTATTCTAGCTCCACCTAACCTTTTAACTGGAGGGCAAGAGCAAAATATTTGGAGTCCACATACATGTGCCCCTCATTTACATTTACACATTTTTTGACCCAGTTAGGTAGGTCCAATGGGGGGGGGGGGGGGTCCATATCCCTGCTTTACTGTCATCATTGCATTTACTATCAACAGTAATCATGACAGTTTTCAATGAGAAACCATTTGCAAGGGACACAAAAAATGTGATCTTTGTAGACAGGTGGTCTTTCTATACAGGTGGTCGCCAAAGCAGGATTGACTGTACATATATTTTGAATACATGAGGAATCCCAAACATACTAGCAAACTATATTTCTTTGATCGGTCCTGTTTAAGAATCTATGAAATCTTACATGTCAGGTGTAGATTTCCATTCTTGGAGTGGCATTCCTTTGGTGTGATATCGTCGGGCAATGCCACGATGTCCACAAAGTTTTCATGACACGTCTCCTCATAGCAACTGCTACATCTGAAAGAAACGGTTCAAGATTAAGAGGGTGAAAAGCATGGTCCATAAAGGGTTTTAAAGTTGCTCAAGCGTTGGTATATAGAGGGCAGCACAGGGAAGTACGCACAGGAGCGTAATACCCATTAGCTCAGTGTTATGTAGTGATCGCCAGATTGCCCAAATCCGAATGACTACATGTACATATCCACACATGAACATCTTTAACAGCTACAGGTTTGAGTTTTTATTGTACATATTTGATGAATCAGCAACGGATTAAAATCCTTCTCAACCAAAATTATTTTACGAAATATTAGTTATGAAATTTGTTTGAAAATACTACAAAATATTGCTCAGATTGTAAAAGACTGCCTCAAAGAACTTTAGGGCCCTGGCAATCCCTAAAGCAGTTTGTTATTAAAGGGGAATTCTATCCTGACGTTAAGTTGGTAGATCAATAGTTAAACAGTTAATAATAGCAGAAGAATGAAATAAAGAAATTAGTGAAGGTTTGAGCAGTATCCGATTAGAAATAGGAAAGTCATGAATTTTTGAAGTTGTCATCAGTGAAACACAAATTAGCAGCACTGTGACATAGCTTGCGAGCTCCTCTCCAATTTGCTCTGTATCAAAAATTTCATTAACTTTCATTTTCTTAGTTATTGATGACAGAATACATTTGTTTCATAGATGGGTTATCTAAAAATATATTTCCAATAATTATATTTAGGGTGAATGTATGACTGAAATCAAATTTAAAGGTAAAATATGATTTTTAAAGTTTTAAGGTACAGAGCAAATAGGTGGGGATCTTGCAAGATACATCAAAATGTTGCCAATTTGTGTTTGATGGATCGCACCTTCAAAAATTCATAAACTTTCTAATTTTTGTAAGCATTTTTTGCTCAAACTTTCACTGTACTGTTTCTCTAATTTTGTCTGCTTCTATCAAAACCAACTGAATATCAGGGTAGACTTCCCCTTTAACCATGGGACATGTAGACCTCAGATAGCAAGAGTACTATACATCTTAGCATGAAATAATATAAAACCCACTATTTAAAGACAGCTTCAGAAAAGCTAGGGTTATGGATTTAGTTAGTTTCCACAAACCAAAAACTGCACAGTTTGCAGTATTGCACAATTAACCTTTGTCCTTTCTAACTGTGCAAGACTATTATCAATAAAAGCAAACAAGTCATACCCTGGGCTAGAACCAGGGTCAGAAAAGCTGGTTATGGATTTAGCTATCTTCCACATACAAAAGTATTGCATTATCTGCAGAATAAATCTTTCCCCCTATATAACTGTTAAAGCTATGGCAATAAAAGCGAATGCGTCATGCCATGGACTTGGACTATTTGTTTAGTTTTTCTTTTGGGAATATGAATAGGTACTTGAATCATATAATCAGTGACCTATGACAGGTACAGTAGCAAGTGGACCATGTGATGTGATCAATACAGGGTACAAAGTACACCCAAGTACTATGATAAACACTCACGGGCCAATAACCTATGAGGGTCTACTCATCCAGTGTATGAGGTTATAGTATAACCTCATACTCATGGATCTTAAATATTTAAAAGTCATTTCCCCTCATCCAATAGTACCATCTACACTGGACCGATCCTGCTAATCCGAACACAAACTAATGTAGAAATATCACAGGTATCGCTATGTGGGAGTAGAAGTTTATCTCAAAAGCCAATTTTTTTTTTGCCTTTTGTTAACCAGATCAGATTGTGTCTTATTTCAGTGTTTGAAAATACTCTCATTTTAATACGAGGCACAGTTGAAGTGCTTGTGAATTTAGTTAGACCTAGTGACAATGTTGTTTTTACAACTATAGATGACAGAACTTAAAACAAAATTTTTTCCCTGATTTTCTTTTTTTTTCCTGATTTTTTTGTTTTGTTTTGGTCTTCAAAATAGTGGTGCGCCTTATATACACAGGTGCGCCTTAAACACAGAGATTTATGGTAGGTGAAATTCATATTGAAATGAAGATTTTTTGGCCATTGGAAGGCAGACAGCATAGTTATATGGTACATAAATACTACACATATTGACACAACAAGCAAAGTTTGTAATAAAATATCCCATCTAGATACCTGCAATGATCCCTCAGCCATAGGTAGCTTGCTTTGAAGGTCTGGTTGCCCACGGTGACAGACAGGTGATCACTTTCCTGCTGTATGTCTGCTGCTATGGTGCTCTCCACAGCACTGGAGGATGTAGACTGGTGGCACAGAGATGCGACTCTCACCGGTCTGCTTTGTAGAGTTGCTCTGTAGGACTGGTTCAGTGGTAAAGGGCCTGAGCAGAGCCATCTTGTCTGAGAAGCTAGATGGGAAAGAATGTCATGGTGTTAATACATGTCAGAGAGTAACATACAATTGAAATCACTTGAACTTGATAAAATAGTATCCTCATACTTTTAGAAGCATGGTATTCTACTGACTATTTCAGATTTAAGTATCCTAGCCAGAGCCATCTATACACAGAGTTTGGCCAACTTGGTTTCACTGGGTCACAACATGCTTGCCGAACAAAGCAGTAGTCGTCAAGTTGCGTCTAACTCGAACCGGGTTGGCCAAACTCTGTGTATAGGTGGCTCTGATCCTAGCTGCCATCTACTGCTCCCAATGTGCCAATGTGTCGACAGCCATGTCACACACTGCATCAACAATCGATGATGCTTGGGTACAGGAACCAAAAATAGTTCTTTAGATGCCTTCACCGAAAGATGGCACAAGCTGAAAATACATTACAATTCAATTCAATTAAAAAACGGTTACTTGCATACAGCATACAGCAGTGGTAGCGACTAGCTATGTCAGTAAAATACCCTGCTTTTACCAATCAATCAACTTCAATAAAATCTGTAGTTTATTAAATATCAATTATTGTAATTATCTATTGATAACAATTTCGTGAATTGGGGCCCATGTTTACTGGGCTAAATTAAAAACAAAAAATATATTTATACATAGAGGGTTCAGTGACACAAAGACATAGTCTCCATATTTTGCTAAAATGAGTATTTGATATCAAAATGTTCAGAAAAGTGTGGGCTTTCCAGGAAACACAAAGACTTATCTCCACCCAACACCCTATTAAAGTCAATGGCTAGTGAAATGGCCAAAATGGAGTTACATCTTTGTGTCACTGACCCCTCAACATGCCCTTTTAGTTTTACTTGTATCTGAGGTGATGGATCTCCTGGCCAGACTGAACATAGTCCTCCTTGCTGCATACATCTCACACCTGGTGACGAGGTTGTTCCCATGACGCAAAAGATGAAGGCAGCTACTAGGCATTCTTTGCAGCATCATGTTTATACTGTGTAGAAATTATAAAATGAATAAAATAAGGTAAATTTTTTAAGTCAATTTATATATACATTTATCCTAGATCTAATTATACTTACCGTAATTAACGGTGTATTAACCGCACCTTTTTGCCGCCAAAAAAATTCAAAGTCGGGGGGTGCAGCTTATACACGGTACACCAAAAAAAAAAAAATGCCTAGCAATGTCTCCCAGCTCGGTAATCGGTGTGTTGACTCACCACTCGGAAACTAGAACAACACTCAAATTTTTCTGTCAATTTGGTTTGAAAGTAATCTTTCTGATAGATCTCAATATGTAGTTTATAATAATAATTCCTCCAATTTTTCTTCTATTACATGGTGTACCACAAGGTTCTATCCTAGGTCCCCTACTGTTTTTTAATTTACATCAATGATCTTACACACACAAACAAAAAATCTCGGCAATTTTTTTTTTTTTTTTAAGGGCGAAAAAGAGGTGCGGTTAATACACGAGGGCGGTTTATACAACGTTAATTACGGTATTGCAAATAACCGTTGTGGCGTGCGCCTGTAATCTAGCTAACAATGTAAGTTACAAATTGATTCAGCTGAGGACGAAGGTTCGAAACTGAGTCACGTCTTTCGGATGGTGACATTTAAAGGTCGGTCCCCAGACGTAAATAATCATATCTGATTGAAACACGTCTGTAAAAACCTAATACACACACACATACCTAAATCCTAAAGCCTAAAAATATTGCAAATAACCCCTTATTATATTAAACAAATTTAGGTCTACCGGTATTCATCAACTAAGAAAATTTATGAAATTTTCTGTACAGGGCAAATTGGAGCTAGAGGAGCTGTGTTGCCAATTTGTGTTTCACTGATGACGACTGAAGCATGTTCAAATAGACCTAGTCATAACTGTATTTTAAATCGGATATCTGTCAAACTTTCTAAAATGTTTACCTCATTTTTTCTCCTTTTCTTTAACCAACTTATCAGGGTGGACTTCCCCTTTCAGTTTACATTACTGTTGTACGTTTATATGTCAGGGCTCCCTGCAAATGCACAGGAGGATTTTGTGAAAATCAGGGCAAGATCGACCACTCCAGCAAAGCATAGAGAGTCATACTCTCATAGGAGGGTGTCTGATCGTGCACCCGATGTTGTGTGCTAAAATTCTTCCCACAGAGATTGCACGCATCCCGATGCAGTCTACGTGCATTGCGCGACCATGCAAAAAAAGTCAAGTTTTTCTTTTCAATTCGAGATTCAAACCTTTATCTGTTGTGATCCTGAAGGTGATACTCAATAAATGAGGTGTCATATGAAAGAGCAAGTGAATTCCAATATTTCCAAAGGGGGGTCATATCGAAATTCTAAAAATATCTTGGTCAAAACAGCAATTTAAACATTGTGTCCTGGCTAACTTTGAAGTTTGCCACTTTTGAGATATGATGCCCCGATCGATAAGTAGTCCCAGTCCTATACCTAAGGAACAATTCTATGCGCTTATATTTTCACAAAGGATTACAGTTTAAAAATACCCTTCCCGCTATTTGGTGGATCAGCTAATTAGGGGGCGTGCGCCCCGCTCAGTCCAAACCATGGTTACATCGTGTAACATCTCCCCGTACGAACGAAACCCGAAATTCAATACACCAGTTTACGGTTGTGTGCGCCATTTTAAACAAAGCCAATGACCTAGAGGTCATGTATTTATGCGTAAATTAAGATTGCGCCCATGCAAATTATGATGACATCATGCCTACGCGCTGCGTTGTGCGCGCATGTCATCATTTGCATGGGCGCAATCTTAATTTACGCATAAATACCACTGACCTTGGGTCATTGGCTTTGTTTCAGGGCCAATGACCCGAGGTCAACTGTCTGCGCATGCGCACTGATACAACCGTAAACTGGTGTATTACACATTATAGTGAATGAAAGTATGGCTAGCCATTCGCGCAATAAACCCGGAGGTAAATACACGTTATAGTCAATGGCAAAATATCGCGGAGACAACAGTTGTCTCCGCCATTGACTATAACGTGTAGTCACTTCCTGAAGTTGCTCCGAGTCCGAGCTCCCTTTAAAAATACAAAATAGTATCTAGAGTCTACGTACCTTATATTGGAGAGCCCTTTGACTCAAGTGCACTGAGCTGAGCTAGCTATAGCCACAGACTAGTATAAAGCTATCCTGGTTATACTGTAGACTCGGATATCTAGGTAGGGGGCCTAGAGAAGAACCTACATTTATACTGTCTAGGCCTACTGAACCTTGCTGCTGAGTGGTGTAATACATGTTGTATACGTTTGCACTACGTGCACCTTCTATGGCAAGCCAAATCGGACAAAAAATGAGATTTTTTTTTGGGGGGGGGGGGGGGGTAATTTTTTGTTGTTGATTTGTTGTTGTTGCTGGGCTAGGAAATGTGTGGCAAAGGCAAGTGGATGGATTCAGTAATACGTTGATTATTCATGCTCTTAAGCCCAGGTTGACTGACATGTCAAAGCAAGAAATTATGTCAAATGTTTGGTCAAATCGCATTTGTGTTAACTACCGAATTATCAAGAACGAAATTTTATTTGAAAAGTATTTGTTAAAGTTGAATAGAAGAGGTGCAATCACTTTGTGTCGATTCCGATGCAGGTCACACCGCTTACTAATTAATAACAGAAGGTTTGAAAGTAATCCCGAAGAAAGTAAAATTGAATGCCCATGTTTTAATTTAAAGGTTTTTGGAGATGAATTTCACTATATTTTTGTCTGCCCTCTTTTCAAGAAAGAAAGGCGGTTATACTTAGATCGACAGTTTGTTGTGAGTAACCCTAGCTCATTTCACATGGACAAAATTGTTTAATAGATCTAGTGTTAAACAATTAAGAAAACTCGTGCAATTCATAACAGTAATAATACAATTCTTTTCGTTCGATCCTAAGGCTGAAAGGCATGGTCATATATTTGTTAATAAAACTAGTAGTTACTAGCAGTGGTAGACAAACCAATCCCCCCAATCCACGTGATATTTTAGACTTATAACTTGAAACTGAATAGTGTATATTTAGTCTTTAGCTCGTGTTTATTGTGTTTTAGAAATTTCAAAATGTATATAATGATCAACTATGTATTTTATTATCATATCTTACTTTGTTTTATATATTTTTCTGTATTGTATTGTAAATATGTTGTGCTATCATACCCCTGAAGGGAGTCGATAGATTAAATCTAATCACTAGATGGGCTCTTCAAATTGCTTGAATCCGGTAATGCCTCTGTGATGTAGGGGCGGACATTATAAAATGACTAAAACTTCAATTTTTCACAAATTTGGGATTCGGGAGGGTCTTTTTTCATCAGAGGACTTGTCAATATCCATGATATATTTCGAGAACGTGTCCCGAAAAAAAAAATTAATAAATGTAACTTATTTTGTACACGACAAACGGGAGAGTTATCCGCGACTACGTCACAATCCACTGCCCAAGCTGGGCACTGACCAAACTGCGAATTTAAGAGTCGTATTTAGAATTGTATTTTAAACATTTGTTCAAACGTTCGCCATTATATTTATCTTATTCTTCCGCATTTCATACAAACTTAATGAACTTATTACGTTGGATTGCGAAACCTCGAAGTAATAAAAACAAAGATCAATGTACAAGTTTAGAGTTTTACAGTCCTACAAGATATATGTAACTTCGAAGTCTAAAAACACGACCTTACTGCATGCTATTGTTTTAACCTAAACATTAACTTTAAGAGACATCATACAGATAAGGCAAATTATTCATGTCAATCAGAAAAAACGAAGGGGATAGAGAAATTTAGCATTACAGGAAACCTCACCCCAAGAAAGATTATTCTGAGAGATTTATTGTATTCTCGCTCATTAATCTACAAGATTCCCAACTGAAGTGTATAAAAGAGGTATAGGCCTAGGCTTATAAAGCAATTGTGATTATGGATAATGTACACTTCCCGACAGCATGACTGGGCATCGCCATTTTAACGTGACGTATATGCGAAGTTATTTATCAAGTAAATGAATTCAAATTTAAGGATGCTTCCTTCCTAAGTGTGTGTGATAATCAATTTTATTCACCTGTTATTATCCTAACACAAAGTGCATTAATAAGTCGTTGCTCTCATTCCTGAGGTCAATTAGGTTTCGCATAAAATGAAATACATTTATCAACTGCTATAATTGAATAAACGAGTTCAAATTTTCCCCTGTAATACATATTTCATCTAATATGATTTTAACCATATCAGGTATGAGTTTCCCTCATTGAAAACTAAAGATTTTTATTGAATTAAAGAAGTCTTTCCAACTAGAGCTCGCGGTGCATAGGCCTATAATTATGTACACGTTCGCCACGTTATCAAGAAATTGACTGCGCCTATTAATTTTATATGTCATTGTAAAAGCCATTACATCACGCCAAAAAATATCATCAAAATGTTATCTCTTGGACACTTTCGTATGGTACTATTGTACATCAAAGAGGAGGAATACATCTCATCTTTCATCATACCCATATTCTTTGGGATGATGTTTCCTTTAATGTACTTTGTATTACATTTCCGAATTACGTTTTCTAAAACCCCCATATTAGTTTTGTACTCGGTAAACCGAGACATGAGTGCGCTATTCATTAATTTCCTACACCAATTAGTGATGCACTCTGACAAAGCAGTTCCCTATATGGGGAGGAAATGCGGGGGACAATAACTAGGAAAAATGTGCATGGAGCTGACCGGAAGACATTACTTATTTAAACATCCCTCGTTTTTCATGATGCAGTGATGCCAGAAAGTAATCAACTCTTTATTAGCTGTTCGTTAATGGGCCCAATCATGATATTCTTACTTTGATTTACTAATCTATCAGTCATCCCGTGGCGTATAGGTACAGAGAGGGCCGGGGGCACATTGATAGATTGATTGATTTTTATTCGACAAGCTTCCAACATACAACAATATACAATAATAACAGATCAGAAAGAATTCAGCTTGAACAGGATAACCCACGAAAGCTCGAGAGCTTATTTCCAGTGGGGTCCCTTACAGACATGTATAAAATTAATAAGTTAAAATAGTAATATTTACAGAAAAATAAGAAAAATAAAAGAATTACTTATTATGGATAATAATAATAATAATAACAACATTAAACTGATGATACAAAATTGATAATAAGTACAAAAGGAAAAGAAGAAGGAGCAGAAGAAAATGAGGAGGAGGAGGAAGAAAAGGAAAATAATGATGAATTTCTATAACGTACGAAAACATAAGTATATACAAAATGAAAAAGTATGAACCGGCAGAAGAATATACAAATTTCAATCATATAACATGTCATTCACTTCTCTTCTCTGACTGTCAAGTATTAGGTATTCCTTTAATTTCCTCTTAAATTGAGCATAGTTACACCATTGGAAAGGAAATTCCAATGTTTTATGGCAATGTAATAAAACGAATTTCCAATACTACCTAATCTTTCTGGCAAGTTAAAGTTGAATCGGCTATTTCTTGTATTATAATCATACACGTCAGTAACAAGATCGAAGTTGGATCGAATAGTATGATATATTTTATGCACGTGATCCAATACTAGTTGTTTTGATCTTTGGTCGACTTCAAGAAAACCAGCTTTAGAAAGTTCACTGTAGCCAACATGAGTTCTTGGACCAGAACAGTTGACAAATCTCACCATTTTGTTCTGTGTAATCTTCAACTTCTTTTGATCTGACTTGTTTATGTTACTATACCATGCAGGGTAAGCATAGTCAAATACACATTGAATAAGAGCAAAACAGAGTGTACGTTTTGCTTTTAAATCCATACAACTTTGATATCTGTACACTACTTTGCATTTGATCTGCAGAGTGAAAACGGTGCGCCCCCCCCCCGCCCCCCCCCCCCCCCCACTACCCTCAATGTATGAAACAACGCTATGTCACTACTGCGGACTTTTATTGATGGCATTATGGGATGAAACTGAAACTACTGTCTCATGACTGAAATATCATCTGCTAGATTGCGTAATTGTAATAATCCACCTTTTCTTTCTGGGTCATTAAGTTTCGTTGATGATAATTATAATAAAAGTTTATGAGTCTTATATAGCGATCATGTCTGGCACATTGCCACTCCTAGCTATATATCCATTATCATTACCCTGGCTTTAGCAGATAATGTATATTTACAATTAAAAAACTAAGTTTGCAATTGGCATCCAAGTAAAAGGGTGAAGAGGGAGGAAGTAAAAGGGAAAAAGTAAGAAATTTAAAGATTGAAGAAGAGAAGAAAGGAGAGAAAGTGACAAATGGATAAAGGCAGAGAGAAAATAGGAGTCGGTGAGAGGAAGTGGAGGGGAGACACAGAGAGAGAGAGAGAGAGTGAGTAAGTAAGAGAGAGACAGAGAGAGAGAGAGAGAGAGAGAAAGAGAAAGAGAAAGAGAGAGATTATTTTTGTATAATTATGTCTAAAGTATATATATAACTACAATTCGATGTTTCATGGGCGGCCATATCGGTTCTTCGAAAATCTTATAGTCTAATTTTGTCGTTAATATGATAGGTCATCAGAAAGAGAGAGATTATTTTTGTATAATTATGTCTAAAGTATATTCAACTACAATTTGATGTTTCATCGGTTCTTCGAAAATCTTCTAATTTTGTCGTTAATACGAAAGGTCATCAGTGCCCTAGGTCCCTTTATAGGCAAAGTATTTGCCACATCCTTCACTCGCTATTTGTTTAATTGTTTGTTTGTTTGTTTGATTGATTGTTTGTTCGAATTTTTCATCTTTTCCTCCCAATCCCGAGCGACTTCAGCCTATACCCCCTAAATAAAGATGTGCCCTGCAGCCTGTTGCTTTACTCAAAAGTACAAAATCATACAATCCTTTTTTTTTTCTTCTTCGACTGTGGACCGGCTCTATCTCGAGGGGTAACCGTGGAAGGATAAACTAGTTAGTGGCCCATTTGTGCTGCATGCTCTGAAGGCGACGAGAATAAAGTGTATTTCAAAGCGACCTCCAATTTGGAAAAACCGGGATTCGCCCCCGATCATTATTTATTCATGCACCAATAGTGCAATCCATGCATGGAACACTAGTGGGAGAATTATTTCTCAAAGGGGGAAACAAAAAGCTCTTTATAAAATTGTGGGCATTTTCATTACCTTGTCGGTGATTATTCTACAATGAAAACAAACAAAATGGAACCTTTGATACTGAGGGTATTTGGGGGTCATTTTGAAGCCTATAGTGCTTGGAACAATGACGAGGTAATCGTATAAGCAGCCTGTTCAAGCTAATTAGACCGGATTACTAACGTAATTATTAAAATTCATGGATGTTTCTTACTCTGGGACCTATAGTGACGTGTCAATCCCTTAATCTGTTATTGATAAATGAATTCAAATACTTTGAATCCAGTCTGCACACATTACTTGTTGCTATGTCGGGCAAGCCTAGGGCAATTTTCGGGTTGTTAAGAACAAGCTTTATTTAAAAAGTATGCATACAATTAGTTACTACATCGGTCTATTGAGTATCCAAAATGTAGATAAAGTGTGTGTTCTTTGTAATTGGTAAGATTCACTTTTGTGTGTGTCTGTCAGATTAATAACCGCTTGAAGAGAAGACCTTTTAGACAAAGCAACGGTGATTGGATTTTTAGAAACATCTTAAAGCTCCCCTTTAAATATTTGACATAGCCCTGTGAATGGATTTTTTTCATCATACCACCCACTGGAAATAAATAAATTATACATTTTTATGGATTATTAAACCGATAATTGCCAAAGCAACGGTGATTGGATTTTTAGAAACATATTAAAACTCCCCTTTAAATATTTGACATAGCCCTGTGAATGGATTTTTTTTCATCATACCACCCACTGGAAATAAATAAATTATACATTTTTATGGATTATTAAACCGATAATTGCCAAAGCAACGATGATCTGATTTTTAGAAACATGTTAAAACTCCCCTTTAAATATTTGACATAGCCCTGTGAATGGATTTTTTCATCATATCACCTATTGGAAATAAATAAATTATACATTTTTATGGATTATTAAACCGATAATTGCCAGTCTATGATTAAAAAAAAAGAACTACTAAAATATCCCCTTCTGGCATATCTTACCAGTGTCGTTCGTCCCATAAAACATAAACGTATATCCATCATACCCCCCCCCCCTCTCTCTCAATCTCTCTTTCTCTCTCATTTACCTCTCTCGCTCTCACTCGCCCCCTCCCCTCCCCCCCCCCACTCTCTCTCTCTCCCTCTCTTCCTCTCTTTCTCTCCCTCACACTCCACCTTCTCCCTCTCCCTTTCTCTCATATCTCTCTCTCTACCAGGCTCTCCCTCTCTCTTTTTCTCTCTCTCTCTCTCTCTCTCTCTCTCTCTGTATATATAGTTAAAAGCTACGCAATGCAAATATGAAGTTGAGGGGGTGCGAGCAAGGAGGGGGTGGGGCGTGGTTTTGCCTTTCCTATTCTACTATACCTACCGGTGAGTTTGTGGGAAGGGGCCATCTCCATTCAAGCGAAAAATTATTTTGATGCAAAGTTTGGGGTCCTATAGTGATGTCTATCGGGGGAGAATATACGATGTTGAGCGGGTGGGGGTAGGAAGGGGTGGAATTGGGTTTGGGCATTTCATTATATTGCTACATATCGGGGAATTTGTGGGAAGGAGCCATCTCAAGACAGCGGGAAATGTTTAAAAGAATGAAAATTGGGTCATAGGAATGCAATGTTTTAGGTGACTCCTAGGTGACATCTATCAGGACAGCTTCGGGAGGAAGTGGTGGTGAGATGTTAACAATTCGAGATATAGCCAACATCAGTGGTCACCTAATTATCAACAAGTACACACGATCTTGGGTATATGCCTCCATTCAGTTATTCATTTCTTCTTGTATATCTATTTATTCTTACCGAGTGCTTATTATCTCATTTTAGGTGTATCGGATGCTTGTTTTCAAGTACAATCAAGACTGTCGAGCCCCAAATTACCTACTGCTTCTTTTCCCAAAGTAGTTGGACTCTATTATAAAAGGAGCATTCATCATTCTCTTTCTCTTTTTTGGGGGGGGGGGGGTGGGGGGTGGGTCCCGCGCGTGAGGTGGACTCACCCCCAAAGGCCCCTCCCCGAGGACACGCGCAAGTATTATAGACGGTTAATCAGATGATTGCTTAATCCATAATGTATGAGAAGAAAATAATGAATCTTGTGGATAATATATTACGAATGGCACTGCATGGATGATACTCTAATTGGATTTCATGTTTGCGATTCAGACTTTGCATTGTAATAAACAACCGCCCTCGACAACACAGAACTAAACATTTTCATCCCAATCCAGTCGATGAAGTGTTTATACATCTTTGTAATGAACAGAAACATGGCGACATATAAATAATTTATTATAATAATTTATTATCATGATATATCAAAATGAAGTGCAGTTATACGCGTTTCACAGTTTGCCCCTCAAGTATCTGGGCAACAAAATAATAGATACACAGTTATAGTTTACAGGTACACACCTTTTCTCCTTTCAATCTGTATTCTATAGCAATATGAATGACTATTATGTACGCACAGGTAGGTATATGCGCTTTTCAAATCTAAAATCATTAATTTTTAATTATAACCTATGGGCCCTGTTTTGGAGAGAGTTGCGATTAATCCAGATTGGTCGCAAGTCTTCCATACCAATCAATCGCAAATTAAAAACCCATATCTCTTCAGTATATACACAGCTGAGATTTTTACGATCGATTTAATTAAATCACAACAGCTGACAAAAGATGGCTTAGCTAGGAGGTTTCTTGAACTGGACCACAGAATCTGACCATGGCATGATCTGACTCAGTATGGTTATAGCATGGACCTACTAAAAAGGTCCATGGTTATAGCTGGTTCTTACTTTGTAGCATAAAATAAGCACACGTTTCCAGAGAGGTAGAAGATATAAGGAACATGATAATTATACGAGTATGCCGAAATTCATGCTTTGATGAAAAATATCTATTCATATACATAATAACAAAACAATGCAAAATCTCTGAGATATCTAGTGCATAAAAATACAATGCATTTATACATTGTTCACTGTTATATTACACTTATCGGGTCTATACATCTTACACTGTAATATTACACTGGTCGTTCTTGTGTTGTTGTAATATATATAAATTAAATCTAGTAATGTACATTAATCAGCGACTTAATGCTTTTAGTTATCTGATAAATCTGAATATATACATCTGTGTTCAATAAATTCAAATAACCCTGCTTCATTGATTCTTCTTTTATCTATAAGTCTTTTCTGAATTCTGAATTAATGCTCTTATTCAAAGGATTGTCTACTAAAACTGTAAACTACATGAATTCAATAAAACTTTCATCAATAAAGGCAATTTATTGGTTCAATTTTTTAGATAAACGGGCGAATGCATTTTGATTTGAATAGTGAATATCACTTAACTATATAATACTAATGGTAATAATAATAATGATAATAATAGTATTTATTTATTTATTTATTTGAAAATATTTATACAGGATGACATTATCAGCCAAGGCTGTTTTTCATATTGGTCCTTTATATATATACATACATGGTAAAATACAAACAATGAAATACAAAATATCAATGAAATACAAAGATCATTGAATTATGCAAAACATGAATAGATTACATGGATATTGAATAATATAACATTTTATAAAATAACCAGCAACTGGACACATAGATTTACATTCAAAGGTTTACCCAGAATCACAAAAAGAATGATTTGAAACAATGTAAGAAAAAACAGAACTAACAAACTTGTATTTATTAAAGTAGGGTAAAAAAAGATATATATACACACATCCATGAAGATATTGGTTATTTAGAACATTAATGAAAGTACAATCTTTTATAAAGGTATTTAAATGAAGAAATAGATGTAGAATTTTGTAAGTTAATAGGTAATGAGTTCCAGATAACTCCTCCTGAGTACTTACCCAGGGAAGCCCCCTGAGGGCCTGTAATTATTATTACACCAGCGATTGCCAGGTACCCCTTTACATCATGATAAAGAGTTGCAAATATGGATTAATGTCTAGCCAAAAGATGGTAGTGCCGGACCGAGATTCGAACCCTCTACCCTTGGATTGAGAGTCAGGTGAAAAACCCCTATACCATGAAACCTCCACTATAACCTTTCTTTAATGCATTATCAGAACAAAGCTTACTGACAATAATAATCACCAGTTTTAAGCTGATCCCCGATGTTAACACGATAAGTTATAAAATATGTGCTCTGAGGCTACTCTGGGATGGCGAAGTTGCTCACGGCAACCCCAATATAAAACATTATGTAGGGAAAGCTTTATGTTGTCGGTTTTTCTTTGATTGACATTCAGTAATTCGAAGTTTAAAAGTATAGGTAAATCAAGGAAAATTTTCATTACAGAAATACTGGGCACGGGTTCACGTATTCTTATTTCATACTATATATACAAAACATTTTTACCGACAACATAAAGTTAAAACAGTTTCATTGATCTGGGAACACCTTACAGGCTAAGAACTTCGTCCTATATACATCAAGCCAATAGAGGCGCAGAAACGGGAATCAAAGGTGGAGGAAATGAAGAGAGAAACTAAAGGAAATAAGGGGAGGAAAAGAAAGATAACGAAATGGAGAGGGAGAAAGGCAACGTGATAGAAGGTGATAATTATGACTGGCGCAATCTCCCCTCACTCTATTATTTTGTTCTCGGGCATTGATTTGAATTCACATACAAATTTCAGAGCCTCCGCCCCCATGACCCCATTGCCGCTTCAACGGCTGGCCCCACACCGCATGCTACCATTACGAGCGTATACAAGCGACACCCTGCAGGGACCCGTTTCACAAAGCCTTTTTTTTCAATGACAAATGACAAAAATCAGTGACAAATCTGCTGATAACCAATCAGAAGCAAGGATTTCAGTCGGATTTCAGTAGCTTATAACAAAAACTGTCATTCGTCACACTGATGACAAGTTTTGTGAAACATCCCCCAAGTTCGTGTTAGATATTGGATGCCGTGCTCGTGTTTGAAGTCGCCATGATTTTCCTCTGCTGCTGGTCCTTCTTCTGCATCTCCCGTCGCGTCCCACACGTGAAGAGTGTGATGAGGAGTCTGGCGTAGGCCTGGCGGAAGTTCTTATTGGTCGCTCCGTAGATGATGCTGTTGATGCAACTATTCATGTGAGCCATGACCACGGCGACGACGTGCGGTGTCCTCGACCACGTGGCGTAGCGATCGAAGACGACGATGGCGGCGTACGGTGTCCACATGATGAAGAAGACGACGACGATGGTCAGGACACTGCGTAGGAGCCGGAGGTCGTTGTTACGGATTGCCTGGTTCGTAGTCGATGACTTCGACTGTAGAGAATGACATAATAAAAAATTTCGTTTCAATAAGTGACATAAGTGAATTTAAAAATTCATATAAATTACATTGCAACAGTGGCATCAACCCTCAACCTTCTCATAATAATATTGATGGCCTTTGAAATTCCAATTTTACCATGTTGTAAGGTTACTCGATCCCCTCTCCTTCCACCCTTAAATCCTGGGCCCACACTGTGAAAAAACATGGGTAAATTTACGTTGGTAATTCTTTTGTTGGGCACTATTGGACCAACATTCAAGCAACATTTGACCAGCTGTTGGGCAAAATACGATAAAATTATGCACGTGTGAAGTACGGTACTTACGTTTACCAATACCACTGGGCAAAATATTGCCCAATAAATGGTTGGGTTGACTATTGGCACAACGTTGGGCAAAGTGTTAGGAAAAATATTGCCCAACTTTTTCACAATGTACGCTCCTTATATTCCCAAAATATTGACCTGTATTTTAAGGGAATACAGAAACAGAGAGGAGTAATTACCAGAGCAGGTATAGTAAATCATCATTGAGCGATACTGCATCAAGAAGAAGTTACTGACCTTGTCTGCTTTGCTGATGGCGGCAACCTGTGCCTTGGTAGCTCTAGCATAGATGACGATCCTGGCGTAACTATAGATCAAGGCTGTCAAGGGTATCCCGAACCCCACTAATATGAAGAAGAACGTATAGCTGTACGCTTCTGCGTAGTTATAGGTACACAGCATGAGCTTGGGGTCGAAGGTGTGAGCACCCCATCCCGTCAGGTTCGGTAGATCAATGAAGAAACATATGCTCCAGAGTGTGATCAAAAGAAAAGGTAGGGTACGCTTGTTGAAGATGTCCCGGTAGATGCTCCCGTGGACGATGGCAATGTAGCGGTTGACACCGATGCTAGCGATACTCCAAAGGGAGCAAGAACAACTGAGAAGGTAATGACAAAAAGAAGAAAAAGAGAAGAATTATTTATTTCGTTATTATTTGAACATATTTCATCAGGATAACGAGATCAGAGGAGGACTGCTTTACCCCCTGGTCCTGAATATTAAGAGCTTACATTAAAGCATCAAAATAAATTAATCATACATGATTATATAATATAGTCAGAATTGTTTAAATACTCATGAAGTCATGATAACAATATTTAGCGACCACAATCTTGAGTAGAAACAAAGTAGAAGTTACATTTACTTAAATATATAAAAACACAATAATGGAATCTAATAATCAACTAATTTATTTTAAATCAAATTCTGTCACCCTACAAAATAACCTTATATCATGAGGTACCAAACTAAACTTAAAGCAGAAAGAGCAGAAACAACGATAATGATATTCATCTTTAACAGAAATAGGTTTTCTTATACATGTTTTTAAAACAGTCGATGGATTGTGCATTATGTAGTTATACGTTATTCCATACTGTGCCGGCTGCATAACGTATAGACTATTCTTGAAACTTTCAGTACTAGGCTTGGGAAGGACAACACTCATTGAGTTAGCCTATCTCGTATTCATTGGATGCCGATCAAATACCATGTCAATAGGATTGCATAAACGTGATGGAGCGTAGCCCTGGAAACAATTATACAACACGCAAGAAAATAGTTACGTCTTTCTTCTAAAACCTACCATTTCAATCATTTTATAATATCAAGACCACTTTTAATCAAATCAAAGTTCCTTTCAACTATTCTTGCTGCTCTTAAGCAAGAAAATAGTTACGTCTTTCTTCTAAAACCTACCATTTCAATCATTTAATAATACCAAGACCACTTTTAATAAAATCAAAGTTCCTTTCAACTATTCTTGCTGCTCTTAAGCAAGAAAATAGTTACGTCTTTCTTCTAAAACCTACCATTTCAATCATTTTATAATATCAAGACCACTTTTAATCAAATCAAAGTTCCTTTCAACTATTCTTGCTGCTCTTAAGCAAGAAAAAAGTTACGTCTTTCTCCTAAAACCTACCATTTCAATCATTTAATAATACCAAGACCACTTTTAATAAAATCAAAGTTCCTTTCAACTATTCTTGCTGCTCTTAAGCAAGAAAATAGTTACGTCTTTCTTCTAAAATCTGCCATTTTAATTTTTTTTGATAATATAAAAACCATTTTCATTAAACTCAAAGTTCCTTTTAACTATTCTTGCTGCTCTTTTGTTTAATCTAAGGATGATGTCCTTGTTATATACAGAACAACTCTCCCATATTGAACATGCGTAATCTAATATAGGTTGGATTTTACATGTATACATTTTATCCTTTTTGTCCGATTTCATTCAAACTTTCACCAGTATGCTTCTCTGATTGTTCTCCTATCTTCTAGAGAAGTTTGCTCTCAAGGTTCGAATTCACTTAAAGTTGCAATGAAAATCTTTTTAACTCAGGAATAAAAAATGTACATGTACACTTTTATATTGATAGGAGACTTTTACAAAGTGGGAATGAAGCATATAACCCGTGAAGAGAATGTGATATAGTTTCTTTGTGGACCTTTTAATTTGCTCCCCCTCACGTGCGCCCCACCAACAAAAAAAAGAGATCCACCGTGAAGTATAGATACACATATATGTTACAATAATTCATAAATTGAAGAGAGCTGAATAAAATATGACATTAGAAGACAAGTAAGGTATGTAAAAGTTAATAGTGACAGGAGAGAGAGAGAGAGAGAGAGAGAGAAAGAGAGAGAGGGGAGAGAGAGGGAGAGAGAGGGGTGTAATGTCATGTGAGGATGGATGGTGAATCTGAAGAGTGATCTGTTAACATTCTACTTACTCTTTCTTATCTAGGCTTTATGTGCATTCAGTGTTAACATTATCTCACTTCATATTTCCTTCACCCATTTCTCTCGCACCTTCTACTCAACTGCATATCTGCCCTCCCTTAAAGGCCCACTGCACTACTTGTAGCTACTTGCGCCCTCTATATAACAAACAATGCCTAATCGGTGACCATTGGTCCCCCATGATCCTCTTTTTCTTATGTTAACTGAGAGCTGAGTTGATGAGATAACCACCTGTCCAGTAACCTTGTAGGGCAGTCTAATCCCTCCTGTAAACTATGGCAGATAAGCTTTAATACTTACAAGGAAAGTCAAGAACTTATTTTTTTACCTTGCACGCTAACTTTCTAACTTTGATATAACATTTCTAGCTCTGCTGTTATATTCATTAACAATTCTTCAAGTTTCATGTATTTGATCTGAATGAGGCAGATAAAAGCACATTTTCACTTGTTATGAAAACCTTGGAATCTGCTATATGACATAGAATTTTGACTGCATCAGTCTCTTCTAGTCTGTTCGCCTAAATGTTGCAAACAAGCTCAGCACAACTAGAAATAGCAAGTTAGTGTGCATGGGTAAAATAAAGACAATGAAAAAGACATTTCAAATCGAATGTCAAGATGTCAAGAAAGGACAAGAGCGAAGCCATCCAATATTATATAACTATCCGTTTCATGATCACTTTCAAAACAAGTCAAGCCTATGAATACGACACTAATTGCCTGAGGCCACAAATTAAAGAAAGATGAAAACAGTTTTCTTGAGTTCCCTTGATGACGAAAACATAATTGCACAACATCAAACCAAACTTACACATAATATTGAAATTTAAATTTGGCATACGCACATAAAAAGTTGTAAATATAGTAATAACTGGGTGCTGAGATAGGAAAGAAAGAAAGAGCTGTCCCCAATGGGTCTAGGACACCTACCCCTGGACATCCATTCCCGGATAACCACCCCAATCAACTAGCCCCTCGGACAACAACCCTCTAGGACGACTACCCCCAGATAACTACCCCCTAGGACAACTTCCCCCTAGGACAACTACCCCGGACAACTACCCCCGTACAACTACCCCCTACCACAACCATCCCCTAGGAAAACTACACCCTGGACATCCACACCCCGGATAACCACCCCAGTCAACGACCCCCTAGGACAACTACCCCCTGGGACAACTTCCCCCAGACAACTACCCCCTATGACAACGACCCCCGGACAGCTATCCTAGGTGGTAGTTGTCCGGGGGTAGTTGTCCCGGGTAAGTCGTCCTAGAGGGTGGTTGCCCTAGGGGGTAGTTGTTCTAGGGGGTAGTTGTCCTAGGGGGTAGTTGACTGGGGTGGTTATCCGGGGGTGGATGTCCTAGGGGTAGGTGTCCGGATACGGTCCCCAATATGTGTGCAGGCATAGGAACATGTTGCCAAATGTTTTTTTCACACTTCCAGCAAGTTTCTGTTATTTTATTTACATGACCGTATCCAGATATCCCACCTACTAAATGATAAAGGATGCAGAATTATTTCAAGCTATTTTCTCCTAACACATGTCCATAACACCACACCTTAGAATAAGCATTCCAGAATAAAAAAAACTTCTCAGACACACAAAGCATTCTCTCTAAGACAAGTCAAAAGAAAGAATAGAAACGCTAACAAAAATTCAAGTGAACACACTTTTCAAATAGAATTTTTTAACAATAGGCAAAGGGAAATGTATTTATCTATGGACAGTACACTACATCACCCTCATAACAACGTCACCAGCATATACATTGCATGAACATGATCTTAAACATTCACTTATATTATTAATAAAAACAAGAAAAATAAAGGGCCTAGTGCACTACGATATTCTAGCTAACTTTTACATAATGTAGCGGTGTGGTGGTCTATAGTGGATACGTCGCCGGACTGTGGATCACAATGGTTCGCGGTTCGAGTCCCACTCACTAATGATATTTGGCGAGACATTATTCTACATTATTTTGCAGGACTCGACCCGGGTGTGGCAAATGGGTACCTGGCAGGTATGAATTCCTTGAAGTGATAACGCACTATCTTGGCACCAACGCTAAAGCCGGGATAACGATTATGGACGTCAGCTGGGACCTGTTTTACAAAGCCTTTTTGTCAATGACAAATGACTAAAATCAGTGACAAATCTGCGGATAACCAATCAGAAGCAAGGATTTCAGTAGCTTACAACAAAGACTGTCATGAAGTGTCACTCATGACAAGTTTTGTGAAACGCCCCCCCCCCCCTGGATTGTCAAGTCTGAGAGACATGAGCTCTATACAAGAAATGTTGTTAGTAATTATTCTTGGTTTATATAGTGCTTATAATAATTCGACGATGTCTTCCTACTGTGTATACTCATGTTCACCTGGTAAAGAGAGGCAAACGTCTACACCTGGGTAGGGGAGGGAAATGTAGATTAATGACTTCCGAAAACACTTCATCGGAATTTGACGAAAGTTAGCGTGGAAGAGAGGTTGCAACTGTATTCTCCACTATTGATGATATATCTCCCAGGACAATAATCTCCGGACAACTACCCACTAACTTAAAGAAAATAGGTGGTTTTCCCGAAAGATAAGGATAATTACTTAGTGGGTAATTGTCCAGTGATTATCGTCGCAGGGATCACAGTACAGTAACCCGGATGATTTGTAGTTTTCCTAAATAGGTTAGTTATCCGGATGGCAGTTGTCCGGGCTGTAGTTGCCCGGGATGTAGTTGTCCGGGACGATTGCCCTGGAGATACTCGTTCTTAAGTAATGAAACTGACATCTCACGCATGTCAAGCATATGCCAAAAAAAGTCAGTGAATTAATAATTCCCAAATCATCTAATAATGACAAGGGCAGTTGTATTTTTGGCAAATACAATTGATCCGTTTTTATGACAAGCAATTAGAAAATAAAGAAACACGAAGCAGTAAATTACTTTTCCTACACACGAACATTTCTTACGAACTTTTGCTTGAATCTTCTCGATATGTATATTTTTTCATTTTCATATTTTAATATATTTCTTCTGAAATGAAGACAGGTTGAATACAAGCAATTAGAACATAAAGAAACACCGAGGAGTAAATTTCTCTTCCTACACACGAACATTTCTTACGAA